GCTTTCAACCAGTAGGATGAAGAAGCAGGGAATGTCTTTGGTGTGGCTTTGAGTAAGAAAAGTGACACGATGAAAAAACTGCGTAAAAGCTATAAACATTTGTGTAGCCCAGATATTCTAAAGCTTAATTGCTCCTCCCCTGACCTTAACTTATTGCTTATGTTTCAACCATAACAGTTATTGACTTCATCTTTTCCCACTTTCTCACATTACAACAAATGCATGTGACGTGAACATTTCACACAGTTACTGCTTCTGATATCATTTTTCAACCATGCTCCAACTAGCCCTACTAACTTCTTAAATATGGGTGTGTAACAGAAACTAACTAGGAGTGTGTATGTGTGTGTGTGTGTGTGTGTGTGTGTGTGTGTGTGTGTGTGTGTGTGTGTGTGTGTGTGTACTTGCACACAAATCTTTTCTGGCATGTGTAAAGGTTTAAGGGCCTGTCCAAACATCCACCTGGCAGGAAAAACTGGAATAAGACTCGTCACAAGGTCGTTAAGCAACATCATGGAAGATTCACCCTGGAACTGCTCCTTGTGTGTTTCTTCAAATCCAAAATAACATGCCATGTTACAACTAACATTTTGTCCCATTACGTGTTTGACTAATTGAAAAGGGCAGACTGAGTCTAGGTGTGAGTGGAATGGTTTCAGAGATTTTGATACCTCCATTGGTCTTTGGTGTCTGACAAGATATGTGAAAGACGTGGCCTTGGAAACCAACAGAGGAAGTCTGGTCCAACCACAAAGCTGCTGCAGCTGTTTGACCCAGTGTATTCTGAGAATGGCCCATTTAAAAACACCCTTTATATAATTATTAATAACTACCTGACCCAGGCGTTTAATAATGTAGTATGTATATTTACTACAATATATATATATATATATATATATATATATATATATAAAATGCACATTATATATGTATGTATGTATGTATATCTATATATATATAGATATGCATACTACATTATATAACGCATGGGTCAGGTAGTTATTAATAATGGGTGGGAGAGCCACTTTCCAGGATGAAGCATCCAGGATCCATAAGTACATCAAGGACAAGGCCCCAACAGATGACATGCTCAGTGAATGTCTCAGACAGCAGTGAAGAGAGGAGGAGGAGGCGCTGGAAGCACCATTGTGGGAGTACAAACCCCTAGGATGGGTACCTTTGATTTGAATCGATCCGGTACTACTTCCCGGTACCTAGGAATCGATACCGGTACTTAACGGTACCAATTTTTGATACTTTTGAGTGTTTATTATTTTAATTCTCTTTTATAATTAAATATATTTTTTTCTCAATATATAACAACATTTGATAAATATCACGATAAATAACATACGACTGTTTGTATTTTAACATTGTCCTTGTAGTTTTATAAGCTGATAATTAAACTGAAGCTAACAGCTTTACTGTGAACTAAATTTACTGTGTATCTTCATTCCTTTTGCCGTCTTTTTTCATTTGATTTTTCCTACTGGGAAGTTAGAATTTCCGAGGGGAAAGCGAACGCACCATTAGCTGATAACAATGGTGACAATGGAAGCTAACATATCAAGTTAACGTTATCTTTAACAGTTTATTTAGCTGCTGGAGCAGATTAAAACGATGATGCCTCACACTTAAATCGTTGTCACTGGTTTCATCTTCACCCAATCACCCGTCGCATTTAGTAAAGTGAAGCCAAACTTTAGAGCGCGTTCATGTTCTTCTAGTCGGAAATTCTGAGTTCCGAGGAGAATGTGAATGCACCATTAGCGAAACAGAAGCTAACATATCAAGCTAATGTTATCTTAAACATTTTATTTACCTACCGGAGCAGATTAAGATGAGGATGTCTCACTTAGATTGTTGTCGCTGGTTTCATCATCACCCAGTTACCCATCACATTTAGTGAAGTGGACCCAAGCTTTAGCGTGCGTTCTTTCTACCATGCTGCTCTGTTTACAACTGGCTCGCAGCGACCGACGACATAACGCTCTTGCGCATGCGCAGCTGTCTAGGCAAGTTCTCGTTATGAAGGATGAGTACCGAAACGAGGCACCGTTTGAAATGACGTGAATCGGTGCTCAGTCGGTACTATGGAATTTGGTCGGTACCTTAAAAAGTACCGAATTCGGTACCCATCGCTATGTACCACTGACGCATAACTGAAGTGGTTGATATCAAGAAATCCCAACAATGGCTAGAAAGAGTGGCTCTAAAGGACAACGCAGAGGGACTCGTCATGGCTGCACAGGAACAGGCCCTGAACACCAAAGCAACAAAGGCCCAGACCTACCACACCAGACAAGACCCAAGGCGTAGGCTGTACTAAGAAGCCCCTGAGGTAATCCACCATATAACTGCAGGTTGTAAGATGCTGGCAGGGAAAGCTTACATTGAACGCCACAACCAAGCGGCTGGCATTGTGTACAGAAACATCTGTGCAGATTATGGGACAAAAGTCCCAGGGTCAAAGTGGTAAAGACCCCCTAAGGTGGTTGAGAACAAGAGAGCCAAGTTCCTGTGGGGACTTCCAGGTCCAGACTGACAAAATGGGGATGGCGAACCAACCGGATATTGTGTTGGTGGACAAACAACAGAGAGCAGCTGTTGTGGTTGAGATGGCAATACTGTGATGGCAACATCAGGAAAAAGGAACATGAGAAACTAAAGAAGTACCTGGGCCTCAAAGAAGAACTTGAGAAAGTCTGGAGAGTGAAGACATCAGTGGTGCTCTCGGTCATTGGGGCACTCGGGGTAGTAACCACAAAACCGGAGGAGTGGCTAAAGCAGATCCTAGGAAAAACATCAGACATCTCAGCCTGGAAAAATATAGCTCTAGGAACAGCTCAGATACTGCACAGAACCCTCAAGCTCCCAGGTCTCTGGTAGAGGGTCTGAGCTTAGAAGGAGCTTTATCTAAATATATATTTACCAGGTCAATCTACGTAACTTCCTACCCTCACCTATGGTCACGAGCTTTGGGTAGTGACCAAAAGAATGAGATCGCGGGTACAAATGGCCAAAATTAGTTTTCTACGCAGGGTGGCTGGGCTCTCCCTTAGAGATAGGGAGAGAAGCTTGGTCATCCGGGAGGGTTTCGGAGTAGATTCGCTGCTCCTCCACATCAAGAGAAACCAGTTGAGGTCACTCGGGCATCTGGTCAGGATGCCTCCTGGACGCCTCCCTGGTGAAGTTTTACGGGCAGGTCTAAGTGGGAGAAGGCCTGAAGGAAGACCAGCACATGTTGGAGGACTATGTCTCACGGCTGGTTAGGGAATGCCTTGGGAATCCCCCGGAGGAGCTGGTCCAAGTGCCTGGGGAGAGGGAAGTCTGGGCCTCCCTGCTTAGGCTGCTGCCCCCGCGACCAGGCCCTGGATAAGCGTCCGAAATTGATGGATATATGTATATTTGGGGGGGGGTTAGAGAGTCAGAGTCAGTCTATGCTATGTTTCTGTCTAACAGTGAGCCATATCACATGCACAAAGTACTTAAAATATTTTTCTAAATGGACAGAATTGCAGATTTTGTCATTTGGAGTTATTTTTATTCCAATACTCTATCCTTTGTCCTTCATCACAAAGGGAAAAGTAACTTCTATGTTAACTTTAAATCAAACTGAGATTTTTTTTAAAACAATCCAACGTTTCCATCATTTGTAAATCTGTCTTTAACAACAGGTTTGTATGAAAAGCATTCGAGGTGTAAAAGTGACTCAAAGCAAAGGCAGGTGTATCACTCCCTTTGTTGAAAGTATGACTCAAACTGAGATTAGATCTAGATGGGAACAAACAATCAACCGACAAGCAGGTAAATAGCGGAATCTGAAGATGAAACGATACAGTCTGGGGTCTGTTCAGGCGTTTACACCTCACGGTTTTGCTACCGCCTTCAGGTAGCTTTGATTTGTGTGTGCTTGCTGGGTAAAGTGTGTGTGTGTGTGTGTGTGTGTGTGTGTGTGTGTGTGTGTGTGTGTGTGTGTTGCATAGATTAAAGAAGTAAGGGGGTGAAGGAGACAGCTCTGACATTTAGAAACTTCGACAAGCGGTGGCGCCCACCTGTTCATAGACAAAGACTCAAGAGGAACAAACACAACCAGAAAAACGTAAACTAAGTCAGTTTTTGTACTTGAAATTTCTCAGTAAAAAAAATTGCATTGCAAATATATTCATACATACAGCACAATATAATGTTGTTGCATTATTCTGCAATTGACTGAAAATGTAATAGATAAAAATAATCAAAGTAAAGTTTAATTGGAAAATGGAAAAGCTTCAGCTCATCAAAACACCCATTTTCTCCTGTCATTTCATTATCTGGATGACTCATTTTATATATTATTATTATTCCACTTGAAATATTTTCTGTTTGTTGCTGCAAAACATGAAAATTACTGAGGACAAATGAAGGTTTCCTATTTTCATTTCTTAAGTCACTTGGATCAAATCTAAATTTATCTACATATTGAAACTGCAACTTTGATGACTGTCTCGACTGTAGATATGTTTTGTGGAACACATTCAACTCTCAGTTACTTAAGAAATGAAAATAAAAAGCAGAAAACAAAACAGAAATATACAAAACTGATTATTTCTAAAATAAATATACAAGGAATAATAAGTTAATGATTATTCTCATATATTATGATTAAATTATCTTTAATATTATTATTTTTATTTCAACTTGACTTTGCTATAAGCGTAATTGTCAAAATTTGACATAAATCCTAAATAAACAAAATATTTTTTGAGTGGTGATTTAAATAGTTAATGTTATAATTCCTCTAATTTATGATTTCACTAAAATAGAACATTTTATTTTGAAACCGTAATGGTTGCATGTGTAGAAAAACCTTTTTTAAACTTGTTTCAGAACCTTTGATGCTAATCTCCACATTTTCACCAGCTATTGAAGCTTTTAATCGAATGAGTGAATTATTAAAAATGCTTAAATGAAAGAAGAAAACTCCCGACTTCCTGTGTGAAAGTTCACATCACACGTGAAGCAGTAAAACCAGTTCTTTATTCAAGAGAAAGCCATGCCTAAAATATACATAGTAATCTTCACAGCAGTCTGTCTTCATGTAAGGTCAACGTTGTAGAAAAATAATAATAAAAAGAAAAAACCCACAGTATTGAGCCATCATTCAACTTCCTTCACCACATTCAGTGTTAAGAAGCAACAGAAAAATAAACATTTCTGAGCATCTTTATGATAAATAATAAAAAAAATACAAGGCCTTTACAAATACCTGAGAGCCCTCACATCAGAACGTCGATATCAAAACCAGACTGATCAGTCGGCGCAGATTCCTGGGGAATGTTCTGCACCAATAATAGCTATTAAAAAATACAACGCACCCAGAACCCTGCCTTGTACATTTTTGTAAACATGTTCATACTTCAGAATGTCACTCAAAGTTCACAAAACTATTTGTATCGGCATTTCAGCAGAAAAATAGACATTTCAAACACTCACCTTTAAAACGTACAAAACACATCCCCACAGTATGTAGCAGTAGCAACGAGTGGACTTTTCAAGTAGAAGACGGTTGTTTTTGTGGTTGTATGGCTGCCGTAGATCGGTAGATCGATAGATTGATAGATAGATGAATATATCAAGAGATCAATCGATCGATACATTTTAAAGATTTTTTTCTTACTGTATTTACAAAGATAAAAAAGGACAGAAAATCTGGGTAGAATTAGCTGACATTAAATGAATGTTGGACCCGTGTCGGCAGGAATTGTCAGATTGCAAATATTTACAGCGGTCGTTTTATAATACGAATGTACAGAATCTATTACAACAGCTGCAAGGTGTAAACTATTTCCAATACCAAAACTTTGCAACGTGTGTTGATGCTAAGAAGCAAAAAGTAAACAAAGCAAAAGCTGCCTTTTGAGTAAAAGTTGACAACAAACAAAGAAATTATCTCAAAGCAACTGCAGATTTTTGAGAAAATATATAAAGTGATGTGTAATGCCAGGTTTGTTTTAAATGAAATTTGTTAAACTAGAATCACATATAATAGGACATAACGATAAAACCACAAAGGAGTCCTACATGTTTTACCCCAAGACTGCTTTACAGATAAGCTGCATTGTTTTCTATTTTACCTGCAATTAAAAAATAATAATAATAATAATAAGTTGCCTGTTAATATAGCCTACATAAAGTGCATGACCAAGACCAGCTGTACCTAGAACAGCTCTGAATCCTTTTGCAGGAAACAACATTTTTCTAACTTAGTACTACTACTACTACAAGTACTACTATGACTTTTACATCACATTTTTATACAAGCCTCAAATGTTAGAGGTTAGTTGAGGTTATCTAGAACATTTGCTATAGTTTTCATAAGTGCCTTCCGAGTAGTATTGCTGCACATTTTAACCACACACTGTTAAATTTTCCTCTTGCTCATGTTGTCCCTTTCTTGATTTTTGCTCTGAAAGGTCATGCATGAATGTGGTGACATAAAGCAATGCAGCGAGCAAGGTTCAGACTAGAGAAAGTAACCGACATTAGTGTGTACTTGCTTGTTTGTGAGATGGTGTTGAAGAAAGGTAGACGCGAGCAGCATTATTCAGGCAGGATATGCTTAATAATACAATAAGAGGAAGGTAGCATAGCAACGTACAGGCATTAGCTTCAATAAACGTTTCTTTGTTTTGTGGTTGTGTACCAAAAAAGGCTAACCCTGGTATGCAAACTGAACAAAAAACACAGAGTTTTTCAAAACAGGATCTCATAGCAAAAGGATCAAACTCCATAGAACCATTAAGTGAGGTACATCGAGACGATCTCTTTGATCACATGTCACTAAGCACCATCGTACAGCCAGGTAGTAAAGTAAATGTGTCACTTTAAAATGGTTAGCAGAAAAAATTAAGACAAAGATAATGCTTTACAATGAGGGTTCCTTTATTAACGTCATTTAGTGCATTATTAAGCATTAATAAACAAAGGATCCTTTTATTAATGTTCCCAAAATTTTTAGCTATTAAGAGTCCTTAAGGTTAGGACAGTGGGCTGGGGTGTCTGCTTAGTGATGCATTACCTAATAATAACATTAATATTAAGCAGTTGTTAATACTTTATTTAATAGTTTATTAATGCGTAATAATGCACTAAGTAATGTTAATAAAGGGACCATTATTGTAAAATGTTACCCAAACAAAAATGAATAATCATCACTGAAATCTTTCCAGTTTGATAAACAACAACTTGATGATCTAATGCTGAGCTTTGAGTTGAAAGAACATGAGATTGTTGAACAAAACTGGAAATAATCAAAACAAACCTAATTGAATATATATATTTGTTCATAGTACTTTGTGAGGAAGAAAGATTAAACTGGCTTATGTTTTTGTCCAAAGCAATTTCCTGTTTTAAAGGTGTGGCTCGCTTGTTTAATCAATACATTTGTAATGGTCTCTAGTAGGAATGAATGCATTGCACGTAGTGAAGGAGGGAAAAAATATACCGGTGCACCATTTCCAGGAACTAGCAGTTACCTGCATCACAGAAGTCACATTTCCTGATATCTGGACATCTCACCTCTGACATAACAATCTTTTTTAACGTGACCCTACCACTAACGTGCAACGTTGATGTTTTATCTCCACAAATAACACAAGCCTGGAGGAGCTTCTGCCATGTGGTGAAGTTGCTAATGCTAATGGATGCTAAAACAACAACAGCCCTTCCCCGTCGTGAGTCAAGATGGGTGAGTCCATGAACATTAATAACAGTGTGATGTAGATCTGCCAGGCTTTTCAAATCCTAGAGTTTCACTGTATATTTTCTATCAGAATCGAATGTAGAAGATAGGTGTAGGAGACTATTTTCACGTTCAGCTGCAAAAACTCAGAGTGAGCAATTATAATCAGAAATAATAATAAAAAAAAAACAAAGGGTTTTCAGGGAACCACACCTTTAACCTAATATGCATGTTTTTGGCCTGTGGGAGGAAACAGGAATACCCAAAGACGAGTGCACGAGAACATCAAACTCCACACAGAAAGGCTGTTTCCTACCTTTGTGTGTTTTGAATCACAAACATTCATTTCTTTCATTTCTTTTTCTAATTTTTAAGTTGTCTTCATTTATTGATTTACCTATTAGCTAAATCAAGGCTCACTGCGGTTTTTGATAAGTAAGTCACGATGGAGGCCAATAACTTTGTGGTAAGTCACAATAACATTCATATCACAAACACAAACTTAGTGAAGGCAAAAGCACAAAAAGCTATTTTCATGTAGGAATAGAAAAAAACTATTTAAAACCATAAAGGCTGCTGACCTAGCTCCATTTTAAAAGAAATAATTCAACAAACATAACTTCTTTTCTCTGTTTAAATAGGTAGAAAATGTGTCTTTGGCCCATACCTTCATATGATTGATCAATAGTTCCAATTTACAAGTAGCTTAAAAAGAGTCTATGATTGTGCTACACGTGTCTACAGTGCCATTCAACTATTCCGTTTCTGGAGGGTAATCAGCGACTATTGCTCCTTTCACTTCTGAAGCTTCTCCTTTATTACGGCCCATCCTCTTACTGGAAAGTGTGCTCCCCGCGGACTATGTGAGAAGAGAACTCATAGCGGTCCTTGCTTCGATAGCCACATATGTTGCATTCTAGTGGATCCCGGTATCCATGGCAACCCATGTGGATGGTGTACATGACATGGTCTAGGAAGAGCACTCGACAGTGCTCGCACTGGAAGGCTCGCAACTCGTGGCCCTCTCGTCCAAATACACGCACCATCTCCTGGCTCGCAGGCCTCTCTGGAGCTGCTCGGCTCATCCCTGTCGTCACACCAGTCCCGCTTCCCGGTGATGCAATTATAACTCGCTCCCCTGAACTGACCACAGCTGGACTGGCTCGAGACCTGAGGACTGAAGAGGGGTTGGTGCCGTGATATCCCTGCCTGTCCTGAGGGCTGCTGCTAGCTGAGTCAGCAGAGTCGACACCACTGTTGCTAGGTGATTCTGCTTGTCCTGGCTGGAGTGGCTTGTTCTGCTTGGATAAGGCTGTAGGGCCATTTGTAGTTTGATGGCTGGGGAAATCGTGGAGCTGGTTTGATGGCAGTTGGAGTGTGTCACAGTTTCCTGGACGATCTGTTTGCTGCCCCAGTGGCAGGACATGGTGGTAAAGAGGGTTGACAATGGGCATTACCTCACCCATAGACAGAGGACCAGGATGATGTAGCACAGGTCGTAGGGTCTCTGATCCCAAGTATGTCATGGCATTGTTGATAGTTTGGTCCATCATATGTGCTGGTATCAGTTCTGTACGATTCTCATATTTCAGGCGCATCTCATAGCCTAAATCTGGATAGGTGTATCGCATCATCTTGTCTCCTACAGGCAATAAACATGTAGAAAATATGAATGATCATCATTGTCAGATTAAATGCCAGAAAGCATTACACAAACAAGAAAATTAGGGATGTTTGAAATTACCGGCCAAATATTTTTATTGGCCAATATTGACATTGAAATGTAAAATATGGGCCATTCCCATCTGTACCGGGTCGGCCCGGGCCGGGTAGCGTAGGTTGTTTACATATCTGGGTGGCCTGGTATTTTTCCGGGCCGACCGAGGCTCATTCTCAGCCCTCTTCTCGAGGGGGTCTGCTTCAGGCCGACCAGGGCCAACACACCCACTGCTGACAGCAAATTCACACCTTCCATTAGAGCAAGCCTCTGATTGGTGGGTAGGATCAGCCCACATGGGCTTAAGGCAAGGATGTGTGGAATCAACCGGGCCAGGCTGGGGCCGACTGGGGCTACCCGGCCGGGGCCGACCTGGTACAGATGGGAATGGCCCAATAGAAATGTATCTGTGTTTACGCTTTTAATGACACGACTTTTCCATACCAGGAACATATTATACACCAAACACTTCAGCTACATTTCTTCTAACTCATGTTAAAGCTGCAAAGGCAAATTTGGAAAACCAATTACCGTAGCTTAGAACATTTTTTCAGGCCTCTTAACAATGTTCTAACATAGCTATGAAGATATTGTGGAGATTTCAAAGAACACAAAGAAAAATTAATGAAGTGGTTCTTTCGCACTTGTCTAAAAACCTCTGCCAATTACACATTTCAGAGCGAAAGCAACTATTGGACCACCCGGTTGTCCGTCTCGCCAAACCGCCGTACTTTGATCCTCCGCTCTTCATGAATTTGTGTATTTAGCAACAGGACACCACTGGTGAGAGAGGTTCCTTGCTCAATACCAGAGGAGAAACAGCCGGCTGCTACCACTTCAACTTGAGGACAAACTTCCAGAGTCCCAAAAATACTCCATTTGAAGTCACGGACAACAAAAGACATTTGGATCTAGAAAATGGTGACTGGTGTTTAGTACTATCTCATTTCCTCTTGAAATTATGGGTGTTCGGTTCCGACATAAGCGTCTAACGGAAGATACCTGAGGGCAGAGGTGAGTGTTCCGTGACCTTGTTTGCATTCAAAACCTAGCTTGTTCTGTAAATTTACTAAAGCAGCTTTTAATTTGACAGATTTGTGATATTTTTGTTTGTTTGGCACAGCTTCAACTTAACTTGAAGTAGTTGTCATTTTTGTGCACAGATGATGTTTGAAGCAAAATTGAAATGACTGGAGATATGTTAGTTACCTAAAATTATTTACTTTTTTTTTTCCGGAGGGGACCCTGTATATGTTGATGTTTTGGAGTTTATGGGTAAATTAGATGTCAGTAAAAACGCTGATATCGACACATCCGTAATGAAAATGAATAAATGGAGAAAAACTTTTTTCTGTCGTAAATATGTGTATCAGTTTAATGTTTTTTTTTCTTTCTAGCCCATCAAATTTAAATTATGATGATGTTTTAGATCTTGTTTATCACATTTTGCACCATATGTTCATGTCTAATGAAGTGGAAAGCCCCATCCATCTACCATTGCACTGGTTAACCCCTCTAGTTCAGGGGTGCGGTAAACTGTTTTCTCTTGATAAGAGCAATGGCAAAGTTACAGGTGTACCTAACCACAGAGCGAAAAAAAATTCCTCGCCTTTGAGTCCTTGCTTGCTCTTCTAGCTTGCTAGATCTCTTCCTCTAATAAGGTGGCACATAAGAAAACGGGGGAAAAAATCAGACAAAAACGCCTCATAAATAGGTCAGAGTAGCTGAATTATATAAGTGTGTGACGCAACATTGTGAAGGAAGAAACACCTGAAGACATAAAAAATGGTACTTTTATAATGTTACCAGTAAGCCTGAAATGAATTCAAAATAAGAGGCAAGAAAAAGAAAAGCCACACAGTCTCTTTCCTGTAAAAACACCACCCATTGAAAATAAATTAAAATTCTATGCACTATGACAAAAAGTGCAATTGTTTTCTACCAGGTAAACCAGAGAAAATATATTTTTTAAAACAGATACTCGTCCTTTTTTCTCCTAAGTTTTTTTTTATTCTCCCACGCAGGAAGTCCAAGTAACTCGAGTCAATAATTTTCAGATTGAATCCAAAATACTCACCAACAAACTTTTGAGGCGTAGTGCTCTTCCGCTTGCCTACATTAGTGGGCAGCCTTTCAATAACAGGTGGCCGATCAAAAGTGGGCAAGCTGCTGGGTTCTGCCATGACCCGGACCTCTTTGGTAACCTCACCTAGAAATGTTCAGGAGACAGAAAAAGCAAAAAACATGACCAAGTGTTAACTTCAAGACCAAGAGAGAAAAAATATTTAGAAAATTAAATAAATAAAATAATTTTAAAAGATGTAGATTCAAGAACAACATTCTATTACCTCCAATAATATAACATGGATTATTTTTATTTTTATTTGAATTAAATGATAATTTATGTAAGTGTTTGGGTATTTATTCCCTTTGGCAAAAATAAACAAACAAATAAATAAATAAATCCCTGTGATGAAAAATGACAGATGAATGCATGGATGGTTTGAACATGTTCACGCTGCAATCCAATACATTTGTAGTGGTTTCCAGTATAAATGAATACCTTGTGAGTCGACCTCTGCTGAGAAAATAAATATCTTGTGTTCCTGTTTCAGGAAGTAAAAGTTAGCAAGAGGAGTGGCAGGACTTTTAGTTTTGTTTCCTGATGTTCGGACATCTCTGCTCTGATTGGCTAACAGCAACACAACTCTTCCACTGCCTTCAATTTCTTTTCAATGTTGATGTTTGATCTCCACAAATAACACAAGACATGAGGAGTTCTGATCCTGTTGTGGAGTTGCTAATGCTAACAGTTAACTTCTGGTAGCAAAGATGTGCTTTGCTCTCTCCTGGATGCTAAAACAACACAACCGTACACATCATGAGATGAGTCCATAAATGCTAATTTAGAAAGTACGTGTGTGTGTGTGTGTGTGTGTGTGTGTATGTGTGTGTGTGTGTGTGTGTGTGTGTGTGTGTCAGTGGCGGCACAATGGGGGTGCAATGGGGGCTCTAGGGGGTGTTATAGCTACCCCTGGATTAGTCATTGCACCCCCATAGCACCCCCAAGTAAATATTAGATTTTTTTTTTTTTACAATTTAATTGTAATTTAACATGTGGATGTGATAATATTTAACATACAAAAGAAAAATAATCAGTAAATTATCATATAGATAGTAAAAACAGGAAATTGATGTTAACCTTTGACCTCATTTTCCACCTGCGAACGAGTGAAAGGTAGAGTTCGTGGTAAAATGGAACCATTTTTGTTGCCCAAATTTCCACGGGTTCAGTCAGAAATGAATGAATCTTTGGAAGTGATCTCAGACCCACAAAAACCTACGGATCTGGATGAAGAGAGTCAACCCTCAACCGCCGCAGCAGTCGAGGGTTTTGCCGCTGGAAATGCTAACGCTAACGTTAGCTAACCTTGCAACACTACAGATGGTTTTCTGTGTGGCTCTATGCGTTTATGATTTCATGTAAAAATCAGTGATTGTTCATATGTTTATGATGTATATTAATGATTGTTTCAGATGTTGTTGAGGTTTGGTGCACGCATGTGTATCTGCTAGTGTTGAAGGTGTTTTAGAGAACAATAGGTACACATGACCACTTCCTTCATAGCACCCTCAATAAAAAGTCTAGCTCCTTCATAGCACCTGCAGAAAAAAATTTCTGGAGCCACCACTGGTGTGTGTGTGTGTGTGTGTGTGTGTGTGTGTGTGTGTGTGTGTGTGTGTGTGTGCGCGCGCGTGTGTGCGTGTGTGTGTGTGTGTGTGTGTGTGTGTGTGTGTGTGTGTGAATGGGTGAATAACTGTTTTTGTTGTAAAGTGCCTGGGGGGGGGGGGGGGGGGGGGTCCTAGGGCTCTAGAAGGCGCTAAATAAAGTACAGGCCATTCACTTATAGAGCAAGTCACCCCAAAATCAACTTTTTTAGCTGATAAACTATATAAATGAGTGTCTAATCATGCTGTAGACATGTGCAGTCAATAATTTGTCACTTTAGTGCATCTTAGTTGGGCGATGGTGGCACAGGAGTTAAGTGCTCGCCCCGTAATCGGAAGGTTGCAGGTTCGAGCCCCGCTCAGTCTGTCACTGTTGTTGTGTCCTTGGGCAAAACACCACCCACGTTGCCTGCTGGTGGTGGTCAGAGGGACCGGTGGCGCCAGTGCTCGGCAGCCTCGCCTCTGTCAGTGCGCCCCAGGGCAGCTGTGGCTACATCGTAGCTCATCCCCACCAGTGTGTGAATGTGTGTGTGAATGGGTGAATGACTGATTGTGTTGTAAAGTGCCTTGGGGGGTTCCAGGACTCTAGAAGGCGCTATATCAAATACAGGCTATTTACCATTTTAGTTAAAAATTTTATATTCTACCTGAAACTGTCAGTGTTGCGCTTTCTTCAGGTAAATACTCTGCTCTGTGTTTGAATTTAAATCTGCCATCGCTATTGGCTAAGTGGTACCCTGTGACATTAGCTGGTACCATATGATTTCACAATGCCGTTGTGAGCCTGTGTGTTTGTATTTGTTAGCGGCTCTACCCTCTCAGTCTGTCAGGCAACAGCATTTGTAGCATTTTTCAAACAGGAAGTGGAAGTGGAGTAAGACTCTGGTAAGGGGTGACTTGCACTTTAAGTGATGAAACACAACACCTGCCCTTACTATGATCCATAGCACATCCAACATTTAGTTTTTCTTATATTACCCATCATGACTAACATAAAACACTCACCTGCATAAGGCCCAGAGTTGGTAGAGAGATCTAAGTTGATACCTTGTAGGTAACTGTGGCAACGCTCTTTGTGTTCCTCTAAAGACGTGCGTTGCTTATAGCTCCGTCCACAGTAGTTGCACTTGTGTGGTTTGCCAACTAAAAGCAGAGATATTCGAGGGAGAAAGTATTTGTTTTAGTCACTGTGCGACAGTGGGTAGCATACGGCACTGCAGTAGTCAGACAATGTGTAGTAGTGTAAACTTGTGAAAAGGCAGTAGTGCAAACACATCAAAAGTAAGCTCCTGAGATCATGGTAGTTCCACTACTAGTATAAGGATTCCACACGACTGTCGCTAGAGTGAAACACACGGCTTGTGGGCGACATAGATGGTTATGCCATGTAGTCTGTATTTCAAAACCCTTTGGTCTGTGAAGCACAAAGTAAACTCCCACTGCTGTGGCACAGCATGAGTAAACAACGGAGTTGAGCATGCATCCCTTGGTGGCGGTAGGAAACTAACTCCAAGCTAAACTGCTATGGAGGTGGAGTGTGATTCATTCTATCATTTCTGTTTTAGTTCATGTCAATCCTACATAGGCAAGTGGAAAGATTAAGACATATCCTTTCCTTCTTTCTGAGTAAAGCTTCCAGGCCGCAATCCTTTCACCCATCCGGTGTGTTTGAGGGCAAACACTGAGCAGAATCTCATGAAGAAAAACGATGACTGAGACGCTCGTCCTGTATTAGTGTACTCTAAACTAATGTAATGAGTCATAAAGACACTCAGCGAGTAAACCGAAGGGCACATTTAGCGTACTACTGAAAACCAGACACCACCGTTGGCTTTGCATTGTAAAATCATCATATTAGCGATAGCTGCTACTAGAAAATGATGCACAGGTGAAAAAACAGAAACCAAACACGTCTCAGCCTGAGACATCGAGGCTAACACACACACACACACACACACATACACACATACAACACAAGTACACTTGTAAGTCGCTTTGGACAAAAGCGTCTGCTAAATACATAAACATAAACATAAGTACTCTTTTTGTTAAAGAGAAAAGTGGGTTTGATTAAAAACACTAATAATCTAAAGAAAGTGAGTAAGAATGAACTATTCCTTCAACAGTAAATGTTGTCATATCTGGATAGTGTCTGATGACAAGTCGGCTATCTGAAGTAAAAGCCCACTTGTTGCAAAATGACGAAGCCGATACTACAACAGTTTCCCTTCTGCTCTGTATTTCATTCAGGACTGTGGTGATGTCTAAAAAAATGTTTCTTTAAAACAAATATAAATTCATTTTCCATTATCACATGGGCTCAGTGGTAGAGTGTCCGCCCTGAGACTGGGAGATCAGTGTTCGATTCCTGGTCGGGTCATACCAACAACGTTGAAAAAATGGGACCCAATGCCTCCCTGCTTGACACTCAGCATTAAGGGTTGGATTGGGGGGCTCAAACCACCAAATGGTTCCCGAGCATGGCTGTGTCTGCAGCTCACCGCTCCCCCAGGGGATGGGCCAAATGCGGAGAAAAAATTTAGCACACACATCAGTGTGTGTGACAACTGATGGGACTTTAACTTTAACATGATTATTTCATTTTTTGCGTGGGTGACCGAGTGGAGGTCATAGTGACAACAAAATATGTTCAGTTTATGAAGAGTTATTTTAAAATAAAAGTCTGTGTATGTGTGTTTGAATGGATAAATGGCTGTTTGTGTGGTGAAGTGCCTTGGGGGTTCTAGGACTCTATATAAAATACAGGCCAATTACTTAAAGAGCAAGTCACTCCCAAATCAACTTTTTTACTGATAAACTATATAAATGAGTGTTTAATCGGGCTGTAGTCAATAATTCGGCACTTTAGTGCATCTTAGTTAAAATTTGCTTATTCTGCCTGAAACTGTCAGTGTTGCGCCATCTTTAGGTAAAAACTCTGCACTGCATTTGAATTTAAATCTTTCATCGCTATTGGCTAAGAGATACAATGTGATGTTAGCTGGTACATTATGATGTCAGAATGTCATTGAGAGCCTGTGTGTGTGTGTGTGTGTGTGTGTGTGTGTGTGTGTGTGTGTGTGTGTGTGTGTGTGTGTGTGTGTGTTTGTTAGCAGCTTCCCCCTCTCGGTCTGCCAGGCAACAGCATGTGTTGCATTTTTCAAACAGGAAGTGGGAGTGGGGTAAGACTCTGGTAGGGAGTGACTTGCTCTTTAAGTGTTGATATACAAGATATACAATAACTGCACTTACTGTGATCCATAGCACTGCCAACATTAATTAACTTTTTGTTTTGTTTTGTTTCATTACCCACTGTTATTTCAAAATAAAAGACAACCTTTGACTTTCTTTCTTATTTGCTGCTTTTCAGCCATGAAAGTCCAGCAATGGAGAAGATTCAGAATTACTGCCGTGTTCTCAGTGACTCATATTTACCTGCTTCCATGCATACACAATCAAAATGTGGAGTTCATTATTTTTTTCTATTAATACATTCATGCGACCACCCACGCACAGCCTTGCGCAGATGTTGGATGTATCTGAACAATACACCTTTCAGCTGCTGTTCGTCCTGCTGCACTCATTTGACTGATTGGCTCATAGATGGGCACTTGCTCAAATTTAGATCTTAATGAAAAACTTCTCCCACTTTTAACCCTCCTCTGTGCTATTGGTTGGTCAGTCATCTCTGCAGGAACAAAAATTCTGTTTAGCCTCAGGTTCATCTCACTGTTGCGTTACATTTTCCTCTCAACTGACTTCTCTTTTAGAATTTGTATTTTTTCTCTTTATTGCAACTACTACTCTTTCTTAGCCTGGCACCAGGTGAGAACTGCAGCTCCGGAGCACCCAGTATTTCTGCAGGCATAAAAAAACAGGCAGGTTGGCCCTAGGTAATAAATATAGTAAAACATACAACAGTCTTGTAGGCAAATACGTCAGTGCACACACATGATGGCTCAGTCAAATAAAAATAAAAAATAAAAAAAGGTCTGTCTATGAGTAACCCCCATAGGGCATCACAGGCAGAAATGACAGTATTGTCTGACCTTGATTTCAAAGGAGCAACAGAGGGGAGAGCACATCCTCTGATAGAAAAGTGGGTTACAGTTGAAAAAGACAGCGAGTGCTCCATGTGTGTTTTCAACAGTTTCCTTCAATACAAGACAAGCAGCAAAGAAACAGCATGCCCTTGGAACCTAACCACAAGGCACTCACAGTGGTGTCTGAAACATAAACACTCAACCTTTCCAAACGCCTGTGCCTCCAACACGCAGCACCTTTGAGTCACATGCAATATCTCAGGAAAACATTATAGAGGCGCTAAAATACAAAAGAAAAAAGCCATCTAGCAGTGTGTTGCTGAAAAATCGGCTTCAATATGAGGCTCAGAATGAAGGGAAATCTAACTATATATTATTTTGTTTTTTATTTGAACCACTGCTGGTGATACAACACAGCCTCGAAGAAAGACGCTTACCAGCATGAGTTCGTAAATGGCCAGTTAGAGCATCACGGCGCCGGCAAGCGTAGCTGCAGAAGGGGCATTTGAAGGGTTTTTCGCCGGTGTGCAGCTTAATGTGTCGCAGTAGGTTTCCTTTTTGGGTGAACGACACACCGCACTGGTTACACTGGAACGGCCTGTCACCTGAAAAAGGGAAACAGAGGAAGGAATTACCGGACTTAAAGGGTAACAGCCCTTAGAAAGTGTCAACAACACAACTGTTTGATTCTTCTTTTTTTTCTGTTTTATAACATTTTAATCAATTTTATGACTAAGATCTAATTTCACCCTTTGACATGCAAGTCACCCCCAAATACACTTTTTTTTTGCTGATAAACTAAATAAACGAGTGTCTAATCCTGCTGCAAACACGTGTTGTCAATAATTTGGCACTTCAGTGCATCTTAGTTAAAATTTAAATATTCTGCCTAAAACTGGCAGTGTTGCGCCGTTGTCAGGTAAAAACTCTGCATTGTATTCTAATTTAATTCTGACACCGCTATTGGCTAAGAGGTATGCTGTGATGTAAACTGGTACGTTGTGATGTCACAATGCTGTTGTGAGCCTGTGTGTGTGTGTATTTGTTAGAAGCTCCGCCCTCTCGGTCTGCCAGGCAACAGCATTTGTTGCATTTTTCAAACATGAAGTGGGAGTGGAGTTAGACTGGTAGGGGTTGACTTGCTCTTTAAAAAAACTTAAAGGCGTTGAACACTGAAAACCCATTTAAGCTAACTTTTAGCATTAGCAACTTCTCCACACAGCAGAACTCCTCCAGGCTTGTGTTATTTGTGGAGATAAAACATCAACGTTGCAAGTGAGTGGCAGAGTCACATTGTCTCCAATCCAAGGTGAGATCTCCAAATATCAGGAAATAAGACTGTAAAGCCTGCCGTCTGAAGCTCGGTTGGGATGTGGGTCGCTGCTAGTTCCTGGAAATGGTGCACTGGTATGTTTTTCCTACTAGAGACCACTGCAAATGTATTGAATAAATGAGTGAACCACACATTTAAATGATGTAGAACTGGGAAAGAGTTTAAAAATTGACCTAAACCTAACAATATTTTTCTTGATTGATTTGAACTTTAGTGAGATTTCAGGTGCTCAAAATACCGATTACTACCGTTAGTCAACATGCCTCTCATCAATCCGTTAGTGACAAGAACATTCTTTCACTCTCCTGCTGGAATAACCACGAGTCTCCCGCTTATGGACGTCTTCATGATAGCACCACACATCTTCAAAAATTCTATTGAACACTTCCATAATCAAGCACCTACCTATGCTAAGGGCAGAGATGCTGGTTTTTGTGTCTTTCTTATCTTTGCCACGTAGCTAACATGTGGACTAATCGCAGAACATTGTCTAAACGCCTTTGATCTTGATCATAAGATAGCAGCTATGATAGTTTCCAGTCATGTATCTGCAGAGCTCATTCTACTGAAACAGCTATTCTCTAATGACCTTCTGACTCACAGTGATGCAGGGGACTGTTCTGTTCTGGTCCTGCTGGACCTGACTGCAGCCTTTGACACTGTTGACCATCACCTGCTACTGGATAGGCTGAGAGACTACGTAGGCCTATCAGGATCTGCTCTGGGGTAGTTCTTCTCTTACCTGTCAGAGCGTTCTTTGTGGCCGTCTCCAAATTCCGGTCCTCCTCCACCTCCCTCGCCCACGGTGTCCCAAGGTTCTGTCCTGGGGCCTCCGCTCCTCCTTTATCTGCTCCCTCTCCCGCACATGCTGAGCTCTTTTAAAGAACTCTCCTACCATCTTTATGCAGATGACATCCAACTGTACATCTCCTTTAAGCCCCATGAGATGTCTAAGCTGCAGCTGTTACACACCTGCTTAGACTCCATTAAAACCTGGATGGCTGGGAGCTTTCTTCAGCTGAATGAAGATAAGACTGAGATCCTCATCCGTACCCCAGACACGCTGGTTCTCAAAGTCAGAGCCTCTCTTGGTCAGCTTGCTTCTCACACCAAACCTTCTGTCAGGAATCTTGAGGTGACCTTTGAACCAACTTTTACTTTTTCTCATGTCTGTCAGTTCTCTTGTTCGCTCTTCCTTCTTTCATCTCAGGAACATTGCTAAGATGAGTCCCATTCTGTCCCACTCTGAACTTGAGACAGTTCTCCACACCTTCATCTTTTAGCTACGACTACTGTAACTCTCATTTCACGTGTCTGAGCAGAACCTCCCCGAACTGTCTGCAGGTGGATCAGAATGCCTGTGCTCGGCTTCTGACCAAGTCCTCAAAACACACCCACATTTTTCTCTTCCTTCTCTTTATTGAGTTTAAAATGTTCTGATTTCCCAAAGTTTTTGTGTTTTGTTTTTCACTTATGATATTTTTTACATAACTATTGTGGTTGATGGGACAATACCAAGTGATGGCAACATCAGGAAGAAGGAACACGATAAACTAGAGAAGCACCAGGGCCTCATCCTGCACAGAACCCTCACTCTCCCAGGCCTCTGGCAGAGGACTCGAGCTTGGAAGGATGAGACCACCAGCACAGGGTGAGATGGGAATTTAAAAAAAAAAAAAATATTCATTTTTGTGAAGCGCCTAGTGATTTTTATCTTGAGAGGATGGCAATCACTGTATATTCAGCACTTTCCTGATTTCCTTCAGGACATTCAATTCCTAACTCCCACAGTGTGTGAAGCTAAAGTGAAACCTAAAAATGAGCAATAACGATGCACATTTTGTGAATGGTTTGCTTGTAGTCTGTGCTGCTGCTGTGTTTTATCACCACATGGAAAAAAGAGAAATCCGATCCTAACGCTGTGACAACCCAAGGAGTCAAAGCATTAGTTAAAACAGGTTGTGGAAGATTCCAGGGATTTTTTTCCCTTGATAATCATTGCAAGACTAAATTGTTCCACTAAAGAAAGAAAAAAAAAAAGAAAAAGCTCCACCCACAGTCGAGGACAAGAAAAAGTCTCGGAGACTTTGCTTTGGTTTAGAAAATGCTCAACAAAGCTCAAGTCTCTATGGAAATAGGAGAGTCTTGCTTAGATTTTTCAATTCTACTTATAATATCCTTTGGAATTACAATCCTTACCATTTGATTGTCGATTTCCTCCATCCGCTGATATGTTTGGCCCCAACAGCCCATCCTGGGCTTCACCCGGGCTGCCAGTCACCGATTCCTCTGGTGCTACTCCTTCATCCCCTGTCCGACCCATTTCTTCAGGTGCAGGGCTTCTGCTTTCAACCTCTTCTGCTATGTCTTCTTCTTGCTTAATTGTCAGATCTGTAAAATAAATAAATAAATAAATAAAAAACATGGGAAACCCTCAGTATGCTCATTCTGTGCTATTATTGTCTTAATGTCCTACCACAGTTATTATAAACACATCGTTTGTACAAATTAGCCTCAGATTGGATAACTGTCAGTCATTAAAGACCATTAGAAAAATCTGTTAGAGTATGTAATCAAAGCATTTCAACTAAAGGTCGTGAGTGATATGGCAGGCTGCTGAAGAGGAATCTAAACTTCTCCGACGTTCACAAAACTATGTACTAATAGTTGTGGAAGTTACTCACTTTATTGAGCCGCTCATCTAACAGAATCAGGATGGATTGAAATGGTGACTTGAATTGACAGTAAGACAAAATGAAAAAAAATTAAAAAAAAAACAGGCCAGTCTGGTTTCAAGCTGTCCCTGGGGAGAAAAGGAGTGTCAGAGGCCCATTCCTCGCTGGCTGCCACTGACTAGCAATGGGAGATTCACTGGATGACAAGGGCAAACGATTGTGCAATAGTGTGTGTGTGTGTGTGTGTGTGTGTGTGTGTGTGTGTGTGTGTGTGTGTGTGTGTGTGTGTGTGTGTGTGTGTGTGTGTGTGTGTGTGTGTGTGTGTGGCAAGACAGGAGATGGAACAAAAAGCTTACTTCATGAAGCTGCTGGTTATCGGTTCCTGTGTATTCAATGACTTCTCAGAGGAAAATGATTCATAAATGACAGATTAGAAGATGTATTTTTAAAACCCCTATCCCTCGCTTCTCGTGCTGATTGTAAACATTCATCTCACGCACAAAGTGGTGTAAATGAGACACATCAGTCTTTTCTCGAAGTTTGACGTGTGTGCTTTTGGATTTGTTTTAGTAAATTCTACTTCGAAAAAAAACCAGACTTAAAGTACATTATATTTGTTTTTTTTTAGTATATTTCCAGTGCTTTGGTGTGTTTTTGAAATATTTTACATGCTTTAATAAATTCCCTCTTTTTACACATTTTTTTCTTTTCTCCTGACATAAAAAGTCCTGCATAACAAACTCTACTTGGCCTGTTTCATCTTGCAGACTGGAATTTAATCCCAGTTTAGATAACTCTTTAGCCTTTTTCTCCTGCTCTACATTAAGAGTTGTCATCACTTCAGATCAGTGTGTAAAGGGGCCGTACGTGGGGCAAAGAGCAAAAAATAAAAATAAAAACGATCACTCCAAGCACAACTTACTGATCCTGACGATCCAGTTTGGGGATTTACACGTGCTATAATCCCAGCGCGAGTGTGTGTGGTTGTTCTTTCATTAAGTCCTCCTTAAGACTGTATCGGTTCTGCCCTCTCCAGCTTCAGAGCGAAATCCACTCAATTTCCAAACCCCAGCAAATTATAAATGTGACATCTTTCTCGTGCTAGACAACAGTGACACAAGCTGTAATGTCACGGTAGCCTTTAAGCAGCTACTGAATATGTTTCAGGAGCAGAGAAGAACACTTATCCCAATAACCAAGTTGAAATCGAGCCTTGCCTTCAACAGCTGTTTCCTGGCAACACAGAGAAGACCTTGCTATTCAGCTATTCTGTGTGTCTTTACATCTGTCTCCCCATTGTGAGAGAGTGGAACGCATAGAGTGGTCAGATGAGGATATGCTTCAAAATCGGTTGCTATGACGAAAGCAGCAAGTGGAATCATTGCATTTGTCTGCATGTTTAGGTAAGATACAGCCTGATGTGCATCCACCTGTGTTCTATTATAAAAATGAATATCATTATTGGTCGAGGAGCTGACTGAAAGTAGGTAAATATTATAAAATGACATTTTGTCACCCTTGTCACACAATCTGTCATCTTGTTCAAAGGCTATCATTTCATTTCTCCGTCATTAATGAAACAGAAGGCAGAAGAGATGATTGGTGGACAAAATCTGTTCAAGTATCAACGTTTGCTATTACAATATTTTGGTCCTTCAGTCTGAAGTTAATGCGATGCAGTTCTTATTTTGTGACAAAGCCTCAAAACACCAAACCGTGTAGTTACGACAGCCCGTACCTCTCTGAGAACATCATCTCCCAGCCTGCTTGTCTGTCTCTGAAACAGTAGAGAAAAAGTCTGTTTTCCTCACGCAGAGGCCTTGTCTGACATAGTTTCCCCTTTTTCCTTAGTGTGCTGCTTCACAGTGACTTTGCTAGAAATAATCTGGGTTTCTGGTCAGTGGATGTGCAGACCCGAGTAACATCAAGCACTACATTGTACGACAGGGTGCTAGAAGTATCGCTATTTTATTCAAGTTCCAAGGATAAAACCTTCAGGTTCAATGTTTGGCTTTCTTTTGTTTTTTCGCTATTATATGTTTATGATGTTGGCTCTCTGTGCAGATTTCAACACCGCATTCTATCAGACAAAAGTTTTAACATATATGTTAAGCCTCGTTCACACTGAATGCAGAACAGATGGGGTGCAGGCTCCGTATGGCCACTGCATACACCACAAATCATTGAGTCCAGTCAGAGAATATGAATAAAGTCGTCAATTGCGTTTTTTACCTTGAGAGTAAACATTACACCTCTAAGGTTGATTTTCACCTGTACGTGTCACACGTCACATGATCATGAAGCAGACACTCCATGAATTAGGAGATCGCTTTGCCGCGCCGCGCCGCTATGCCTAACGCGAGGTGCTAACCGGAAGAGCCTCTGCAGCTCACAATTCCACAACGGATTCTGAAAGAACGGAAAAAGCTAGAAACACTTAACCAAAGTTTAGAGAGTCGAAATGGCCGAACATCTATCAACGTGAGGCTGAGGCCTTTCTTCGGGACTAGCTCTGAAGTCACATGGACGCTCATTAACTACTCAGATTTGTAAGCATTAAATTCCACTTGAACAGAAGAGTTACAAAAACAATCCACCCCCCTCAGAGTTGTCATTAACGTAAACCAGATCTAATAAAACCAAAAATGGTTTTTTGAACTTGGCTGTAGACATGTTTATTTCGGCTGTGAAATGAGCTTTTTTAACATGGAAGTAAATGAGGATTTGCTCTCTTCTGCTGCCAGACCCTAGAGGATGAGGGTGGAACTGCAATTTTTGCCACTTCCTTTTTGGCTTCATATTTGCTGCAGAATTATGGGAGCTTGGAGTGAAAACTAAAGTGTTGCATTTATATTTTTGTACAGTGTACTTATATCTGGCATTCCTAACCTTTAAAATTGATTTTCCAATTCAATTCTGACTCCATATAGGTTACACTTTAGCCTAAAATCTTCAGTCAGTGACCTCAAATGTAATCTTTGACCCAAAAATGTAGTTTATGTTTCATATCAAACTAATTTCTCATGCAGAATCATTCTATTTAAATTTGTATTAATCAAATTCATTGTAAAAATAGAATCCATGCATTTGTTAAACACAAACATAATTATTGCAATTGCTTGTTAGTTGATAATCCCAATAACATTAGCGTAATTAAAGTGTATAGCTGCCCAGTAAATGAGTCTAAAATATGATATTGTCCACAGTGATCCCATTAGAAACCTTCAGTTTCAAAGTTCAAGTTTGTTAATTGTTGCAAGAGTTTACAACTGGAGGCTGAGCCTTTAGAATTAGGCTTCTTTTCAGAAAAACCACATTCCAATTTGTTTTCAAAGTTCAGTTTTAAAACTTTTCCACTCCAAAGTGACATTTTGTAAACATCATGTTCAACCTAACCCTATGCGATCTAATGGTCTATTTCTTGTCTTGCATTTACTGGCATTTCCCCCCTTTAAAATGTGATTTTATTGCTTCAGTCTTTAGCGTTGTTTTAGCCATGTGACACACTTAAGCTTCTGCTAATGACTGATGTTAAATATATAAATACAAGTCAAATTAAGTAGACTCTTGATTTTATTTTTATTTTTTAATTTTCAGGAAATTTGAAGAGTTGAAATCAAAATATTTATCATAAATGCATAAAATTACACAGCAGGTGTTATCCCTTTTTATCAGACTGGTTTTATTGTAAGCTCAACCACAACCAAAATGAAATTTTAAGAAGTTTATGAACAAAATAAAGCAACAACGTAATGGATCAGAATAAAATCCATCTGGTATTTCCTAAAGGGGAGAGACTGCATGTACGCACTTGGCAGACTGCACCATGAGGTATGTCTACAATGTGAACTCACCATCAGGGGAATTAGGACCCTGAAGAACTGTCTGTCCATTAGGTGCCAACTTATCCATAGAAATTCTTGAGTTCTCCATACCGGAAGCACATTGGCCATTACCTGGTGAACACAGAAACACCACAATCTTCACTGGGCTGGATTAGCTTAAAAATGATGTGTGTGTGTGTGTGTGTGTGTGTGTGTGTGTGTAATATATATATATATATATATATATATATATATATATATATATATATATATATATATATATGCCTGTGTGTGTATAATATATGTATAATATATATATATATATATATATATATATACATATATATATATATATATATATATATATATATATATATATATATATATATATTATACATATATTACACACACACAGACAAATATATATATATATATATATATATATATATATATATATATATATATATATATATATATGTGTGTGTGTGTGTGTGTGTGTGTGTGTGTGTGTGTATAAAGAATTATAGGCGTAAGCCTGGTGAATACCCAACCTAGAGTGTAAAATGATTATCCACCTCGAATGCCAGGTGTATACACCTAAACTCTCTCCATGCAGCAAAGCCATCCTGATGTCCACCAAATGCAGATCACATTGCATCCTTTCAGCAGTCTGTACAAAATCTAGGCTATGGATATCCCAGTGTCCACTCAGAGGGAGAGCAAACCAACCCCTTATCCCCTTACACCCCGGCCCCATCAGGGTCACCTGAACAATACGATGGCAACAGCCAAACACTCCCTGTGACCCAGGTGTCAGATCCCTTAGGAACCACAGTGGGTTTTCATTTACAACCAGCAGGTTACAAAGGCTTTGGTGTAAGACGTTTATAAAAGCCAAAGTATGGTGCTGAGCATGTCTGAATAATGATATTTTACATTAAAGCAACATTTGTCTGAAGCCTTTACTTGGCAAAGCCACCTCATCCTTATTTGACAACCTCTCCTGCGGTATTGTTCCACAACAGCGCAGCCTCACTGGGTTGAGCTTACTGGGAGACGTTGTCCATGATACAATCCCTGAGCCAGGGTTCGGGTTTCACAGGCTGGGGTTGGAGGAAATCTCATGTGACCAACCTTGGCTATCCCTTATCCACGCTGTACTGGAGACAGGAGTGGTCCAGATTTGTCAAGAAGGATTTTCCATTAGCTTTCTATAAGAGATGCTGACAGATTGCTTAGCACCACGACAAATATGAAGACATTTTATGATCATCAGCAGAGAAGGATGATTTTAGCACTCTAATAATAGTAATAATGACAATAAATGACTCATTTCTATTAACAATGATCTGAACAACATTGGTTCTCCTAATAATACACCGGACCAATCATTTATCTCCTCGCATAAACGTTTACCATCTAGCTGGCTGGTGTGACACCAATCGGATGCAAATCTATAAACTGAAACATTCATGGATTGAGTCGACAATTTGCGTTGGTGTCCCGAATCTGCTGAGTCAGACCACGTTGAACAGTGAAATCAAAATATCAATCAGATGTGACTTGCTGGGGGAAAAGCCATTTTTAATAATATTTGGATGAGTTTGTGTAATGGCAAACGGAAAGGAACAAATGTGTGCACATGAAACTCGTGGGTGTCATAATTGCTGACTCCATTACTGACATCCAATTGAGTTGCATACATGCCTTCCCAAGTCCAGTCATCCTCTCAGTCCTTCAGTGCAATTGCTGTACCTGTATGATGTATTTAAAAGAAATCACGTGCAAGTAAAAGTATGTGAACAGAAGGCGGCGCATTATTTTTGCCTGAAACAGATTTATGTACGTGAGAAATTCCCCTAAGTCATCAGAGTGAAAAAGACATGTGAATGAAAGGACATACATGTGACTGATGTATTTGTGTATTTGCGATTAGAGGTATGACTTTCTATGAAAGTATGGTAACCTACAGAGAGCAAAAAGATGGAGAAAGTGCTCTAGATCACCAGTCTAAGAGTGGTTTATTGCAAAAATAATAGCACCTTGTATTTGCAGTTGTTTTGATTTTATTGTTAATTCGTTTCTTGGAAACTACACAAGATAAAATTTCTGCCCAAAAACAATTAAATAAATTTAAAAAACTGGGTTTAATTTCTGTCACTTTAAGTAAATTCAAGCTTTGTCTAAGTTTTTTTTCCTTCCACCGTTTATTTTCGTGCTCTTGTTCTTCGCCACACTTTGTAAGACGATGGGAAATTGAAACCAAAAACGATGAGTCCCGTATTTCTTTAGATACCGTCTGGTCGCATGTCTCATACCACTACTCTGACTCACAGGTACTATTACCATCACTTATGTGAAGATCAAATGAATATAGAAAATTTCACACTGATGACCTCGCAAAAGGTGGATGAAATCATTCTTTTTTTCCCCCTTTTTTCTACCTCTGATAACTCCACAATAAATGTCACTGTAGTGGTGAGGCAGCTGTCAGCCATGTGTGCATGCCATGTTCCTCAACCCGTTTCCTCGAGAACTAGGCTGAACTTTGTTTCATTGTTTTTATTCTAAAATATTTTTTGTGTTTTGATTTTATTCTGAACTCGCACCCAATTTCCATCTTATCCTGTAGGTCCAACAAGCAATTGAAAACTTAGCCTGAGATGTGAGCACTTTAAATTTGACTTTTTGAACTCCACCATTTAAACTGACTGAGTGAATGACGAACAGCATTTTGCATAGATAAAATCACTGAAATTGAACAAACAAAAGTCCTTTTTTACTTTGAAATGAGCTCATTAAAATTCTGCCTTTTTTCTTTTTACTTAACCAGGTCACTAAATCTGATTATGTCAGCTGAATGGGGTTTCCTTCCTTTCATTGATCAGATATAAGACGTGTATAGCACATAGTTTTACACAAAAGCATTTGTGCTCATTTTAAAGGTTAAGTTGCAAAATTTGCAACATTTGAAGATGGTGTTTTCCAGGTAATATCGTCGTGGTGGTTTTGAAACTCATGCACTCCACTGCCTCAATATCGACTCAAAATGTATAGCTGAAAACATTTTCCCCCCACAAAGAGCTCATTTGCTAAACCAAAGAACTGTTTTCATAGATGTTCAAAAATATGAATTTGTTCAGTCAAAATAAAGTTTTGTGACTTTGATCAAAAATTGATTGATCTAGCCTGGCAAGCCGTACTATATATGTAAATATATAGTCTGGCAACGACCTATAACAGAGATCAGTTGTGGAGTGGAATATACGGTTGTCTTTCAAACTGTCTCTGCACCCAAATGGACAACGCTAGGACAAATCAGAGCATCGAACAATATGACATAGTCATCGCTATGGAAATCAGTCGACAGGGCAGACCGCCATATCCCGCCAAAGAAGAAGCAAATACTTTATTTTTTCGAAGTAAATGACCTTAGTAGTACCTCTATCTGCTCTTGTCTCAAAGAAAAATCCAAGTCTAAATTGTCCAAAGTTGATGCCAAAGCTGCTTTAAATGATCGCCGTCCCTGAGTCATTTTTGTAGGTTTTCTACATCACAGCCCTGGCACTAAGCCTACCCAACGTCTCCCTACAAACATAGAGCACTAGCCAGACCAAATGTTTTTCGAGCCAATGGTAGACATGCTGAGGCTACAATGGAGCACAGCTAGATCGACTTGCAGATCAAAATGTTTTGCTTCTGCAATGCTTTGTCTAGATTTTTAGGCTTTGCAAACAAACTTTTCACAATCAGGCTCACTTTGTTTGAAATTAATCTCTTATGCAACGTCATGCTATTTTTTTTTCCATATGTATCATTTCAGAAGCAACCCACAGATGGATAAAAAAGGAAGAGCCTCCATTTCTCCTTCCACCGACCCGCCTGCCAAGTTTTCCGACATACACTAACCCCCAATGGAGACCCAAAAATCCCCACTGATATCATCAACAACACGCACCCATTTTGAAATACGTACACCAAGAGATACATGCAAGATAGGGGGGGGGGGGGGGGGGGGCATTCTGAGACCTACCCAAAGGAAACCAACAAAGGGCAATGGAGGACCACAAAGCGCATATCCAGTGTAAGCTGCATTCAACAGGATTTGCTAATGCATCATTTTCTCTACCTATAGGGCTGAACAGGAAGAAGCTTGCACTTGGGGGGAAATCCCTAAAATTGTTTTTCATGTTGTGATTGCAAAAAAAGAAATTTTTTTTATTAAATGTCTTTTTTGTAATCGGTGTTACAAACCCAAAAATCTTGATGTGACTAAAATAAGTTTTGCTCAAGGTGAAATCTGTCTTAACAGAGACAAACCAGTCATTATCAACATCCTGATCCTCAGCGAGATAAAGCATATTCAGATTTAATTGCATACTATATATGCACGTGAGTGCATTGCAAGTGATTTGAGGACTTACTAGCAGAATAGTCTTCGGAAGCTTCCATTTCTGGTTCTTCAGGAGTGCTGCAACATCAAAAAGAATGGGACATAATTCAAAATGAGGATTTCTATCACATTTGCATTTGCTGTACAAGTTGCATTCTACATTTAACCTGTAAATAAGCTCCCAACAATTTCTTGGAATACTGAGATCATTTAAAGTAAAATAATTATTGTAGTTTTAACTGCATCAGTTGTTTATTTATATATTTTCTATTGAAGACTATGGTCCTGTCTCAGTTATTGAATTATCAAGCTGAGGAATCTGTCATTCCTTGAAAATCGTTGTGCATCCATGTTTATAGCGCATTGCTGCACATCGAATGCAAATTTAAAAGGCAATGATACATTTGACTGTTCAGGTACAGCGATAAATAGCAAAACCGTTTAAGTATAATGTGCAACATTTAATTATGCTTTAAAATTTCCAAACGAGGTGAGAGTAAACACGGATTCGGGCAGCATTTTGTCCAAAATGAGCACGTGTGATAAACAATACTGTAAATAACATTACAGCACAAGATGCATGCAAAGGTTGGAGACAAACCCGGTTGGTGTTCTACGCATAAGATGGATATTTATAGAAAAGTATGACGTTCACAACAGTGTTTTAAATGTAAATCTATGTAAACAGTTGCAACCTTAGAATATTGCTTTTTGTCACGAACTGCAAAGTAAATATCTGTTCCATTTTATTGGACTTACTTCCACTGACCCACTAAATCACTAAAAAACAAGTGTTCATAGATACATATAAAGCAAGAGCAGCAATTAAAATCCTAAACTTTTTTCAGTCCTAAGTATCCTTCTTTGTTGTGTTGATGAAGTGTGTGGATGCATGAACATTTTGCATTATTGAACCATTTGAAGCCATAAAACTTAACCCCTGACTTAAAAACGACAACATGCACGTCCACCTGTGACTGGGTGACACAATATTCATGTTCTTGCTTTTGATTCTGGCTTTCTTTGCTCTGCAGTCTACTGTCTGACATTGCCTTAACCAATTTCCCTCACAGCGTAAGCTCTTCAGCAAATGGGAGAGTAGTGAAAATATCAACCCAGCAAACGACACATTTCACATTCTGGGTTATTGATACCTGAAACACGTATTTATCACAAAAACTTTTGAAATTGAAAGTATGAAAAGCTGTCATCGCATATAATCTTGATGCATTTCACCTGTGCAAAAGTATTCAACCAAGGATGGAGGGAGGGGAGGGCAGCTGCCTCCTCCTCCTTTTAAAGAAGCACACAGAAATGAATAAATCCAAATTACCTAGTTCATCCAGTGAGGTTTTATGGTGGAATATAAACTTTCCCCCCACTTTTTTTGTCCTGCTCAGCATGAAACAGCCCAGTGAAACTGAGACCAGATCTATTGATCAAGTTCAGAAACGCAGAGAAAAGTTGAGGAGGTGCGCATCTAGTGAGTCCAACAGGTGACTGGCGCAGTGTGGAAGCCTCCTCTGCGCGCCCCTCCTGACGAGTTTTCCGCTTTAAAACCGACACCGACGCAGTCCCACCGACTTCTACGCTCACTTGACTCAAACTTCCAGTTCATTACAAGTCCTAACCGACTGTTAACGCGGCGTAGCAGGAACAAAGAGAGGGAAGACTCAACAAGTCGAGGGGAAGACAGAGAGGGATGGATCAAACTGGATCCACCGGTTCCTAAGGAATTAGCCATAACGACAGGGAGCAGCCAAGCTATTTTCAACAAGCAGGCGACTGGAAATCCGTGGGCAGGTAACGCTGAAAAGCTACTCCCGGAGATGTGACTCAAGGTCGAACCGGTTCGAATTATCTACTGCGAACTCGTGAGGACAAAAGCAAAAAGGGAAAGCAGCGCTCCTGTCAAAAAGCACGACTCAAATAAATAACTTTGTTCTTTTTAAATTTCCTGATAGGCCTAGTGTAGCTTTTAAATGCCCCATGTATGTGCGAAAAAATATTACAATCACTTGATAGCAACAAAAAATGTGCAGTTATTATATCTAACAGATGTTAACGCGCGTGTCAAACGTTATAGGACTTTTTTTTTTACCTGCGGAGAGGCAAATCAGCAGCAAAACCGTGAAGCCAGAGTCATTTTTGTTGCTTTTTTTGTGGCAACGCGCTGTCGCTTCTCATATTAAGTGATTTTTGCTGCCTGTGATGCCTGCATGACTGACAGCTGCAGTTCAACAGGTTATCCGATCACCGCCGTCTACAATAGAGCCAGCCTGCCTGTCCATTCATCAGACAGACGCTCCTTGTCTGCCTCTGCTGCAGACATGCGCCTTCTCCCTCCCTCAGCACCTTCTCAAGCGTCTGTAGCCAATAATACAACACATTCATATACAGTCGCAAAAAAAAAAGAAGAAAGGCTACTGAATGGACTGTTTAAAACAGGAAACCGACGTGCGCACTGATGCGCCTTTTTAAAATGTTTTTATTTACCTTAAACATGAAGCAGTTTTTTTATAATCCCGTGGACTTGCACACTGATCCACAATGACTGTCTTGGCTCGGCATACTTATTCGTGTCGGATATGCACCTTGCAGAGCGGACTGAAGGGTAGTTGTTTCCGCAGCAGCAGCAGCAGCAAAAGCAACAGTTGTTAAATCCACCACTTCCTCCTCCATCTCCTCGCGCGGTAGCCGCACGCGCTGCTATTCTGGGATCTCCGTCTGACACAGAACCGGATCACACAGCGTGGACTAGCCTGCCTCTCCTCTAGCCAATCGATCAGGTTACAAGTGACCTCCTATTTGAGCCTTTTTTTTATGGGGGAGGACATTAAATGTTCCCCAGACATTTTATTTTTCCAGCAATCCACTGGCAAACAGTATGTATTGTACCATTGTTAACACATAATAATAATAATAATAATAATAATAATAATAATAATAATAATAATTATTATTATTATTATTATTATGACAAGCATTTCTAAAATGTATTAATAACTTCCAGATTTTTTCCTTGAATCATGAATTATGTCAGTGTTTTCAACTTAAAATGTGAGATTAATATGAGATAGACTCGTCACATGCAAAGCCAGACATTTAAAAACTGTATTTGTTATAGTTGTGATGATTATGGATTACAGTTTATGGAAACCCCAAATTCAAAATCCCAAACATTTAGAATTTTGTGAAAAAGGTTCAATATTCTAGACTCAAAGTGTCACACTCAAATCATTTAATGAATCCAAAGCACTTGCAAATGGTTTCTGAGCCTTTAGATGGTCTCTCAGTCGAAGAAGTTGAATTATTGAAATAAATAGACATTTGCACCATATTAAAATTTCCAATAGATGATATTCTGTCTATTCAAAAAACGTTGGCTCAAATATGTCCAGGGCAACGATTTCTGAAAAAATTCGTAAATAGAAATCTGGAAGCAGATTTTGGCAACATGTTGCCCACTGGTCTGATTTTGGACATGGACACAATGACAACAACAATCTTTGGGTTTTTCATTGGTTGCACTTTGTGTTGAAGTGGTGAAAAGAAAAGTGAATAGTTATGGTGGAAGTACAAGGCTGTTACATTTCCTTATTTTAAAATGACCACAGCAGAAACATCTAATCTGCCTCCCTATCAGCTGCACTTAGAAACTGTATAAATGTGCTGTTTGTCACCATGATGCATTAACTATTCTCATTCTCATACAATCAGGAAGTGACATTTTTGTCTCAAATTCACAAAAGTTACCATTCAATATAAGTTTCTAATAACTGACAGAATTAAATGCCAACAGAAAAGACGGCAAACACGAGTCTTGAATATTTCTTTGTGAAAGGTGCCAAAATCCTCAGAGGGCAGCTGCAGATTGACAACAAATAAAGACATCCATTGTTTGTTTTAATTATTGTGCATGGCTGAATTTCTGTAAATTGTTATCTTTTGTAACTGAAGAATTTGAAATGATTGTGGCTCCTTCTGCCAACCTTAAATGGCATCCTATTTAACCAGGAAGGACTGATGTAAACCGATATTCTTTTAGTTCAAACTTGAGCTACTTGGATCTCGAGACTGGAATCTAGTTGTTTGCTGCCGTGCTATCAGTCAGTTAATAGCCTCTTTATTTCTATCCATGTTCTGCTTGTGTCACAAATAAACAAACAACAATGAACATTCTAATTTTTTAACAAGCTGTTCAAATGTTGTTCACAATAAAGTTCATTACATGTGTAGATATAGAAACAATAAGCCTATTCCAGTCTGGAAGCTTAAATTCAGCGTTTTGGTCTCACATGCCTTGTTCCTGAGTGGATACTTAAAATGACTGGACCTAACAGTGCATGATTTGCTGGTCACATGACAACCTTTATAAACGCCTTCCTTTTTCTAGTTATTGCAGCACTTAAATGAAACTACTTTAGCTTACATAACCACAGGTTTGTACTTAAGTGAAATGACATTTATTCTGATTTACATATTCTATTACAAATAATATTTGCAACACAAAACCAAAGAACTGAGAGAGACAGCCTGAAGACAATACCGATTCACATAAAATCTTTAAGTCGCTCAGGAAATCCTCAAGACAAAGAAACTAACGCTTTAAGGTAGCGCGACTCGGGTTGCGAATGACCACAGTCGCCAATTCTGATCTCTGAATTGTGTGTACTGAAACTCTAATTTCCCTCTGGGACAAATAAAGCTTTTCTGATTTCTGATTTCTAACCCATTATGAAACTTTCTCTCCATCCATTTTCGTCGGCCTACCTGGGGTTTGGTCGTGGGGGCAGCAGCCTAAGCAGAGAGGCCCAGACAACCACAGTCCCTCCAGGTAACGGGAAGAAAAGTCATAGTAAATGTAAAAAGATGTTGCATGAGAATACAATTTGAGATTGATTGGATGAGGACAATGGTACCATGTTGTGCATGTACCATGTTCATTTTGCATTCAATCAATGCAAATCTTCCTGTCAAACTAAATGAGGTTGAGGGATGAGACAGTGGCCCAATCCCAATACTTGCCGTGCACCCTACGGTCTTCTATGAAGTGCACTTAGAGGAAGTGCACAGTAAGGCTTTGAGTGCGTAGTACACAAGTGTGCATATATTTGCCGTATTGGGACAAGGAGCATTGCGTCATCGACCACAATGCATGCCAGTAGACTTGTTGCTGTTTGCTGTTCACATTAATCTTTGTCTGAAACATTCAGAGCATGAAATAATTGTATTAATTGTCCTAAAGAACATTTTTTTTGAAAATACATATTTTTAGAAAAAGCACTTGAGCCTTTGCTCCGCCTTCTTCTCAAAATTCCCACACAGCAATGGACTGTGGTTCATACCCTTTGCGTAAGTCTGCATCAATGAAGAATGGATCAAGGGTGCAAAAGAGGCATGGTCAACTTCTGTACTTAAGAATCGGGACACCCTACTCTTGCACTCCTAAACGGGATCGTTCAATTGAAGGGTGCAAGGGTGGAAATGCGAGTATTGGGATTGGGTCTACATTTAAAAAAATTTACAAGTGTGCAAAGAAACACCAAATTTATAAAAGTTTTGATTTACTTGCATTGCAGCCTTTGAATCATGGGTCCAGTTTTACACTTAAGTCCAGCTGGTGGCTATAAAACACAGTTTTTCTACTGAATTTGAAAAGAGGAATTAAGATCAAATAATTTCTAACCAGATTGTTTTATGCAATTTAACATTCTTCAGGGTCATAGGAACCTGATGGATTGCCTGTCTTTTGTTATGCCAGCTCAGAGACGCATCATAAAAACTTCACAAGTACACAAACTAAAGTGTAATTTAGAATTTCCAACTAACCTATCATGCAGATTTTCAGGTTGTAAGAAGAAACCAGATTATTAAGAGATAAATGGAATGCCTTTGATCCATGAGAGTTTTTTGGTGAGATTTGAAAGTAGAAAATAGCACACTGAACGCAACATTTTAATCACAAAAACTGTTCTCGTCAAGCCATCTTGTCACTACCGTGCCAGTGAGCGAAGCGGAGATGAGGCGAGGATCCAAACGGGGTGAGGAAGACAGGCAGACAGGTAGGAACATTTTACAAGAACTTTAATATGGAGCACACAGGACATAGAAACAATGATCCAACACGAGACACAACACAGAAGGGGTTTAAATACAGGAGGGCTGGGAGCTTGGTCTGATTGGGAAACGAGAGGCAGGTGGGAGCAATTAACAGAGACACAGGACTAAACCAAAAGGGGAGACAGGACAAGGTGTGACAGTACCCCCCCCCCCCCCCCCCCCCCCCAAAAGTGCGGATTCGAGATGCCCACAGGAACACAGAGCAGGGCGGGAGGAGGGGGACCCGGAGGGACTGAGGGCCCGATGAAGAGGAGGCAGGAACCATTAGAGTCCGGGGGCCTGCGTCTGTGGCAGAGGAGGCGGCGATGACGGGCTCTTGGGGGCCTGCATCTGTGGCAGAGGAGGCAGTGACGACGGGCTCTTGGGGGCCTGCGTCTGTGGCAGAGGAGGTGGTGACGATGGGCTCTTGGGGTCCTGCGTCTGTGGCAGAGGAGGCGGCGATGACAGCCTCTGGGGGCCTGTGTCTGTGGCAGAGGAGGCGGTGACGACGGGCTCTTGGGGGCCTGTGTCTGTGGCAGAGGAGGCGGCGATGATGAGCTCTAGGAGGCCTGCATCTGGGAAAGAGGAGGAGACGAGGATGGGCCCTTGGGGGCCCGCGCCTGATGAGGGCAGGACTGGCGGTGACCGGAGGCAGAGACGCCGGAGGAGACGTCCTTGACTTCTGGACTGCAGGCGGCGGCGTCGGCCTCTGGACTGGAGGCGGCGTCGTCGGCCTCTGGACCGGAGGCAGCATCGTCGGCCTCTGGGCCAGAGGCGGCGTCGACAACGGGACTGGAGACGGCGGAGACGTTGGACTGGAGCGAGCGTCAACCTCTGGACACGAGAGAGCGTCGACCTCTGGACTGGAAAGCGCGTCGACCTCTGGACTGGAGAGACCGTCGACCTCTGGACTGGCGAGAGCGTCGACCTCTGGAGTGGACGAGGCGTCGACCTCTAGAGTGGAGGAGGCGTCGACCTCTGGAGTGGATGAGGAGTCAACCTCTGGAGTGGATGAGGCGTCGACCTCTGGAGTGGATGAGGCGTCGACTTCAGAACACAAGGAGGTGTCGACTTCAGAACACGAGGAGGCGTCGACTTCAGAACACGAGGAGGCATCGACTTCAGAACACGAGGAGGCGTTCGACTTCAGAACACAAGGAGGCATCGACTTCAGAACACGAGGAGGCGTCGACCACAGGACTGGAGGAGGCGTCAACCACAGGACTGGAGGAGGCGTCGACCACAGGACTGGAGGAGGCGTCGACCACAGGACTGGAAGAGGCGTCGGCCACAGGACTGGAAGAGGCATCGACCACATGACTAGAAGAGGCGTCGACCACACGACTGGAAGGGGCGTCGACCAAACTTCTGGTCTGGGGGCGTCGATTCCTGGCCCGGAGGCGTCGACTTCTGGTCCATTGGCTTCTGAACCGTCGACTTCTGGACTGTCCACTTCTGGTCCGGGGGCGTCGACTTCTTGTCAGAGGGCGTCGACTTCTGGTCCGGGGGCGTCAACTTCTGGTCTGGGGGCGTCGACTTCTGGTCCGTCGGCTTCTGGACCCTCGACTTCTGGTCCAGGGGCGTCGACTTCTGGTCTGGGAGCGTCAACTTCTGGACCGTCGGCTTCTGGAGTGGAGGAGGAGTTGCTGGAGATGGGACCGCTTGGACAGGCTGGACCGGATGCGGTGCGACCTCCGAGACCACCGCTGGAACTGGATGCGATTGTACTGGTGGTGCTGGAAACTGGGAGAGGAGGGAGGATAGAGTGTCCAGTTGGAGCTCCTGGAGACTGAGGCTCTGATGGAGTTGGGCCAGCTCAGGTCGGAGACCGGCGAGCTCTGCTGGGTGGACAGCAGGCTTGCTCCTCTGGCTCTGAGACGAGGGAGCTGCTGGCTGGACTGAAACCCTCTCCTGGTGATTCGGGGAAGACAGGTTGTCCAGGTGGGACTCCTTGAGACTGACGAGCTGACGGATCCGGCCAAGCTCCACCTGCAGATCTGCGAGCTCTGTCACCTGGGCTGTGGGCGTGGTTCCTCCTCCTGCAGATGACGGAGGTGCGGATGGGACCGGAGACGGGACTGTTGGTCTGACGGGGGCGGGTCCAAGCAGGTGCGCAGAGCCAGGGCAGCTGCAAGCTCGCGGCTCCGTCCTGGGACACAGGATTGCGGTGGAGCCCGGCTTCCTTCCCCACGCCGTGGGCCAGCTCCGGGGAAGCACACAGCAAGTCTGGTGCCCATGAAGCTGGAGCGATCCGGAAGCGTTTCCCGGTCCAACCTCTCATCTGGCTCCGGAAGGGTGGAGAGGAACACCGCGGCTGAAGCCCGGTGACCGCGTCTGTGGCGAGGCGAAGGCGAAGCCGGAGGAGGAGAAGAAGAAGCCGGCCGGTGGTCCGAAGAGAGGAACTGAAGCACGCACTCCTAGGGGAGAATCTCCCTGCTGGATCCTTTTACGGGTTGGATCATTCTGTCACTACCGTGCCGGTGAGCGAAGCGGAGATGAGGCGAGGATCCAAACGGGGTGAGGAAGACAGGCAGACAGGTAGGAACATTTTACAAGAACTTTAATATGGAGCACGCAGGACATAGAAACAATGATCCAAAACGAGACACAACACAGAAGGGGTTTAAATACAGGAGGGCTGGGAGCTTGGGTGATTGGGAAACGAGAGGCAGGTGGGAGCAATTAACAGAGAGACCCTGGAATAAACCAAAAGGGGAGACAGGACAAGGTGTGACACATCTCTTATAGTGCACAGATACGTATAACTGTGGTGTGGCCCTCTTCTATTTTGCACAATAACAGATAAAGTGGTGGTTTCACAAGGATTACTTTTACATAAACTAGGTACAACCAACTAACAACAAGATAATAGTGTCTGCTAATGACTGCTGGACACCCATTTCCTGTGGTGGCAACCAAACCAAAGTCACCAGCCCCCTCACTTAGTTTGAAACTTGAAATGTCTGTGCTGTGGAGCTCATCTCAAAAATGGGCTTGAGCACTAAGACCAACATCTTGACATTAGGCCAAAGATGATTTTGATATAAATCTTGTCAAAATGCATCTTCACAAATGATAGCTATGCCACTACGATCTGTGCTTTACTCGGAAAATACTTTATCCAACATGATTTTGATCACAACTATGTCCTTTGTTTAGTACAAATACCACATTTGACTAGGCAGCCTCCTGGGAATAGTGCCTCCGGAAACTTTTATTAATTAATATTGATGATCCAATGATCACTAAATGCTTAAACTGAGTTAAATATTCAATAACTTAACTTGTGCGACTGTCGTGTTACCAATATAGGATATTATCACTGTAAATGTCAGAGAACTTATGCTGCTTCAACAAAGTGTTGAAGAAAAATCAGCAGCAGCAGTCCACTGATGTCTGAGGTTATTCCAGTAGAACTACAATTTGCAATTCACAATTTTTTTCATCATTAATAAAAACTTCTCAAAAACATTGAGTGCTGTGCTAGAATCAGCAAAATCCACGGATATTTGAGATGATTATAATAACACTGAAGTTAGTCGAAGTTCAGTCATTGAACATCGAGTTTGGTTCATCCTAGTCCTATGCTCACACACACGCCGTGTTTCCATTATAGGTTTCCCATATATGGGAAATTTCTAGGAGGCAGGTAGGTGACAGTGAAAATACGATGGCTCTGTTCTCTCAACTCTTAACCCTTTCAGGAATGCCCCAAAACATTAGCATATTTTTTGGCACCTTTCAATGTCCAAAAGGTGTCCATGGACATTAATAGAATTTAAAAAGTTTAATTCTGTCAAAGTATACCCTAATTCAGTCCATTAGGGGACTGTGGGAGTGGCTGATGTAAAGAGTGGCATTTAACTCCACTGCCAGCCGTTTTCTGAACAAAAAGCCCGTGACAGCCAGCGTTTGAGCGTTTTTATTGTTTTTGAAGAGTCACAGAATATTGTGTTCTTTGACCATGTAAACACATAAACTACCAAAAGAAAGTGTAGACTCTACTTAAATCAGGTAGAACCAGCATGCTTCTAGCTTTCTCCCAGGCCTGGGCGATAAATCAATTAAATTAATTAATTAGAATTTTTTGTTGCGGGCAATTTAGAAAAAAGTAAATCGAATTTTTGTGTAAAAGTGCCCCAGACCTAATAACCGAAAAACTCTCTCCGGTCGTGTATCAGATCAAGATCACTGAAGGTAACAAAGACCCCATCTATAAGTGGACCCACAGGAACCAAATCAAACCACACAAGGGTTCCACTAATCTGGAGGATATTACAACCCAATACTCTGATAACCCAACTCGCATCGAACCGAAAGGGGGGTGAATTTCCTGTCACCTGTCCCATAGTTCTCTGTTTCAGGTTACACAGGTTTGTTTGTGTTTGTGTGTGTGCATGGTTGTATTTCCTGTCTATACATGAGGTACAGACTTGGAGTGACTTGGGATGGTCAAGCTGTGGGTTCCTGGAGTCCTGTAATGGTTAAGTCCTGACAGTAAAAGGGAGTATTCCACAAACTGTTATGTTTATCCAAATTCCATTTTTATTTTTTATCTACTAATTAATTCCTTATGGGGTACATTCACATATAGGTTTGATTACTAACAACACTGATTTACATTTTTGTGTTTCTTCTTTACATTACTAGTAATTATATTATTATTTCTGTTAGAAAGATATTCACAGATATACATTTCTGCATTATTTTATTGTAGCTGATTTCTTTCGTCATTTCTATTATAATCAATTCTATTTTGATTGTTACCAGTTATGGGCTACAGATCCTTTTGCCCTTCAGTTTTGATGACATTTTTGCTCAAAGAGTTGTTTTTCCCTCATATATCATAGGGTTATATCCATTTTGTTCTTTTTGCAACACTTTTCCGGTGCACTTAGTTACTGCATTTCATTTCCTACACCTGAACTCCGTTCGCATAATTTGCTTCACATAGCACATATAGGCACATATAGTGCTAGGTTTATTTTTCTTTGTTATTTTGCATCAGACGTCTATTCGTGTGTGTCTACATTGTAGTGCCCTGTGTCTACACATCTACTCTCCTGAGCTTCGCCATCAGTCTTTGCTTCCTGGGAGGACCTCTCTACTCCATCACCTGATTCGGCTGCCTGATGCCTGAGGGTCCGGTTCGCTTGGGTCTGGACGTCCTGTGGTTCCTGCCATGGTTGCGGGAGCTTTCCGGTTCGCCTGGGGCCTGGTCCGGTCCGTACTCTTCTTCTTCCTACCTGTGGACTACGCTGTGTGGGAACAGAGCGCTCATTTATACTTTTTGAAATAATTACTTCAAGCAATTACAAATGATCAATTGCAGTTGAAATTCTTCCCGTCACAGGGATATACAAATGATCTACAGATTATTGACTTAATCACTTCTCAAAGACATGATCCGTGACTGTTCACCGGCATGGGGAATGCTTCCTCACTCCTTCTGCCTTCAACTGGGACATAACATCTGCCATTCCTCGATGGAGTCCTTCGGGCCTCTGGGGTGTTGCAATGCCAGGTGGTTTCTTTCGGACCACCGTGACCTTGTAAAAGGGGGGAGATGTAAAGTCACAAATGGCCTGATTTTGAGATCCCACAGGTCAAATGCACAGCCAGGTCAACTTACCCTGGCTATGACACATTCTACTATCTTTTCCCCTCACAGGAGACTCGAAGTCTGCATGTAGCCCCTTTAATTAGAGCCTACTTCCTCACACCAGCTAGACTGCAGAGATAATAAATGATAAACAATAAATATTTTCTCCTCCAAGGTCCATCACAGAGGAACTCTTTTAAATAAATCCCTTTATTCCCAGATGAAGAAGAAAAGAAGATTTTATAATTAAAAAGAATCATTGACTGAACTTTTGCTATTGCTAATTATAAATAATGAAATGTTTCCTTAATCTGTGCTCAATGATATGTTTTAGTATGTTTTCTTGATGAGGTCATAACATTTGCGCTCACAAGTAAAGTTAAGTTAATCCATGACACACAAGTTAACCTTTTGCCTAGATTCGGAGTCTCCATCACAGAGGATGTGTCTCTGCAATGCTTGGTAACATCCTCAAAACGTGCCAACTTCTGGTTGGCTATTCAAGATAACATCAATCCGTTAAAACTAGTTTTACTCTGGTTTTCCCCTGAGTTCAATTTCAGACAAAACAGTTCAAACAGCTCAACAGTTCGAGGGTTCTAGAGCAAGCTTCAGACCGGCCATCTTTAGCCTCTTTAACCAGAAGGATTTTGACACGTTGTCAAAACCTTAAAACTTTTTCGCACCTGCAAAGCTGAAACAACAAGATTCTTTTCCTGCAGAACAAAGCTGACTCCAAACTCCTTCAGTTATTTTTAAGACGCTTGGTTTCATCCATCTGTCGTGACCCGAGAGACATCTCCGGACTGAAAGAACCGGTGTCGGTACAAGATCTGCTCGTGTGCAAGATCGGCTCGGGGTCCGTCGACTGCCGGTGACGTCAAAGTAGTTGATTGGCTGAACATGAACCTTACGGAATTACGTAATCATGTTACGTTGTTATCGCCTTACGTTGGTCCAGGCAAATCTTTCAGTTGGAAAGATGGACAACTTTTACAAAGAAATCCATCATTACCTCTTTGAAAATACACTTTTAGCATAGAGCTGCATGTATATTAGGGCTGAACGATTAACTGCATGTGCAATTAAATTGCGATGTGACAAAAGGAGATTTTCTAATCTCAAAGGCTGCAATTTGGCAGCGAATGGTTAGCACAATGCTAATATACGTGGAGAAACCCATAGGAATGCTAATGCTAATATCACCGATTACAATCTCACAAAATATGAATTAGAAATGTGCCAAATGATTACATTTGGAGTCTAATAGAAAGTAAAACTACCATCAATCAAATAAGTACAGACAGGTATTTTAGTAAAGCCAGAAAACTTTTAACTCCAGAGTTTTGGCTAGCAGCTATGAGCGTATACTGAACTACGCATGGACAAGACGTCAAAAACTAAACACAAAATACTTCAATAAACGGGACACACTTCTTTCCTGCAAATACAATTTCACAGGTGTTGCTAATACCTATGATCCTTCAAGGGATGTGCTCAAAGAGGAGTTCAACATTATGAATACAATATAGTGTTTTATTTTACAAATACCATTATAAACACAAACTTACATCGTAAGAAACATTATTTTAATAACAAAACTGCTAAATTACTTCCAACAGTATAGATGTGTAGTGTATTTTGTCCGAGTGGGTTTGCCATACTTTGACGTCATGGGCAGTCGAAGGACCCCAAGCCGATCTTGCACCCGAGCAGATCCTGTACCGACACCGGCACCTTGGTCCTCTACAGCCCTCCGGTGCCAGCGGTCATCCGACCTCTCACTTTCGGATCCACCAAGAGGGTCTCTTAATCCGGGTAAAGTAGACACACAGATAGCATCTGAATGTGATCCGATAATAACATCTTTATAGTTTATTTGCAAACCAAATTCTTTCCATCCAGAACTCAGCTCTGAGAACGGAGATTCTGAATACATTATATTCACACATAGGTTCCAGACACCAACCTTTTAGTTTGCATCCACTCACAGTAAATAATAATTTAAACAATTTGTCAAGTATTAATGGTTTGTAAAATAAATTCTTATTTTGTTTATAAACCTGACTGTTTCTTGAATCAAAGTGAAGTGTGTATGATCCCTTAATAATTAAAAGAATCCTAGGATCTTCTAATTAATCATACTGAGACCAAGCAGGGGATATTCTATTTATATAGAGTATCATAGCTTTGTTCACAAGTGGTGGTAATAATAATACATAGCTCTTAAGCAATTTACCCTCTATTATCATTACACTAACAACTCCTCCAAATTTACAAATTCCGTTCTTTTGCCGCTGTCTAATGGTGTCATCTTCTATCAAGTTACAACCAACCTGAATGAGTTGCACACACATTTTGCCCAGCAATTCTACTGGGCAATTTAAGAGTTCATACCCCAGTTCAGGCACTTGGTTCATTCTTGAAATGACCTGAAAAGTGGGTCACTTTGATTACTTTAATTGGGACATGTTGACACTTGAAGTGTGAATCTGTGAATATCTGTACAAGTGACCTAACTGAAAGGTCTGGAATTCAAATTCCCGTCAAGCCCCCAAATGCATTAGCATAAAGGTGTTGCAGAGGCTCAATAGACACTAAAGAAAACGTGTAAAGTTTGAAAAAATATATAGATGTATTGGAAAAAAATATACAGCAAATAAATGAGTTAAGAGCCACTGCCAAACAACAAAAATGTCAGAAAAAAAGATTTGGGATTCTCCTCTGGTGTTGAAAACCTAAACTAACCCCTGTAACTTAACACAGGGGAAAGGACGGACTCCCAAACTCATCCAAATAACAAACTAAGAATTGGCATGCAGTTGGATTCACATGCAATTAGGGAGACAAAATGATCATGCAAGGCATTTTGTAGCTCACCACAGTAAGACACTGAGAGACTTGATTTGGGGTTTAACCAATGACTGTGGAAATATTGGACTAAACCTCTGTAATGCCAACCGTAGTTTTCTGAAGAGCTGAACTGAAGTCCAGTGGGCGGTCCCCACCACCGCTGTCTTGGCTGTGTCACACGCCTGAACATGGCATTTTTAACATGGGAGTCAATTAGAACTTGCTCTGTTTTAGATCTGGCCCCTAGTGGATAACGGGGGAACTGCAATTTTTATGACTTCCACATTGGCTTCACTTTAGTCAAGGGACGTTTGCCCCTTGATTTAACAAAACGTCCGTTTGCACCTATGGGAAGTATTTGTGTGTATCTGTTCAAGTTTACTAAAAGTGCTGCTCAATGTTCCAATTAATTTCAATGGTTAATTAAACTGATAGAAAAATGTCACATTATCTACTTTCTTAATGTGCGTGTGTGTGTATGCGCTATTAAATAAAAATGTAGATAAGTTACATTTCACTGTACTTTAGTCGATATAATGGCTGCGTTGTGTTTATCTGAGATAAATCAGAAACTTTAGATTATTATGCAAAAATGTATCATATAAAATACACCAATTAAGTAAAAGTCGCAAAGCAAGGCATAAGTGTCAGAAGCTGTTGTTCACATGAATCCTTTGTACTTATCAGCACAGTCAGACCTGTACCATTTCTTTAAAAAGTCACTTAGTTGCATCGCAGGCATTTTTATTTTGCCACTGACATTTGTTGCAGTGTAGTGTTTCACTTTGCTGCAGATGACCTTCCTTTAGCTGCAGCGCCCTCCTGTGGTATGCAGCAGTTGGCTCAGGTGCACATTAATCAGCCTACAAACTTTTATTTGTTGTACACTCTAGTGGTTTAACTTAATTTGAATGAATAACTATAGGTAAAAGGTTTATCACTGTGAGAAAATGTTCACCTGAGAACCTTGTTTCAATCTACATCAAAAATACACTGAATTCCTGTTAGGTGGCTGAACACCTCCCCCTGGTGTTCAACTCTTTAATGGTGTTGAATTCAGTTTTTACAGATAAATGCAAATTTTACTGAACATTTAATGAACCTTTTAGATTCTGACTTTGTTCACTGTCTAGAGAGGTTGTATTAGGTGAAAATGGGTGCTTTAACTTCCTAAATACATGGTCTTTTTCTCCAATACTCATACTCACCCACACACACCACCAACAGTAATACTGAAACACACTTATATTTTACACACTTTCTCAAACTTCTGCATAAGCTGCAACATGTTAAAATGTCTCATGTAGTGTTCATTTAGGTTTTCCGGTCGATATCAACCAGAAAATCCAGTTTTCTTTATTATTTAAAAAGTCATTGAAATGTCCAGAATATCTATTAAAACGTTTTCAAAGGTTGCAACATATTTCAAAGATTTTTCTGTTGTTAACTTTTTAAAGAAAAGCTTTTATGTTTTATGTTTGCTAAAGTCACCCTTTCTTAGATTTAATAATCTATTGGTATTTTTAAGTGATTCCAAGCTGATGCTGTAATTGCAAATTCATCTTCTGCATGTGCATGTTGCCATGTAAATGTTTTAAATCTAATTAATTTTCTTGCATTTTTCTACCTTTGTTTTTACACAGTTTCAAGAGATGATGCTAATAGAGATAAAACTCTTGCTTCGTTCAAAGGAAGCGACAAATGAAACAGACCCAGACTGGAAAATGTCTAAGATGAGAGTGTCTAGATATTATCAAATCTTAAGGCTGGGTGTTTGGTTCTATTCCCACAATCAGTTTTCAGTTTCACACACAAGCACAAATACTAATAACTGCCCCAAGATCCCTTCAACTCAAAATGAGCCCACTGCAAGAACGCCCACGGGTTTGGTGTTTGCAAGACTCTGTGGTATCTTGCAACATCCTCATATCTGAAACTTCAAGTTTCCCCTGCAAGACGTGTGCATTGGTTAAGGAGGGTTAGCTAGATATTTATAGCAAGTAAAAGCAGCTTTAATGCATTAATAAAAGCATTTTTTAAATTTATCCTGACTTTTATAAAAGAACAGATAAAATATGTGATGTTCTGGTTTGGGCTGACAGAGGGCACTGGTGGTCTATGGAACGCTCCACACCCAGGGCTGTTTAATGCTGCACAACTTATACAACAGTTGTGCAGAGTGCTACATAAACACCAAACAGCAGCAATAAACAGATGTTGTCTCTATCAAATTATTGTGTAAGCACATCAGCCTCCCTTAGCTGATTGCGGAAGATCCATTAGAGCGCCAAGAACAGTGTTTTTCTTATGTTACATCTTGCATTTTCACATTATTTGGCCTGACAAGAACACTGATTTCCCAAAAGTTAACATGCAGAAAGTTGCACAAACATGCAGCAATGTGAATTAAATTAAATACTTGGTTCTAAAAATACTGATAGGGCTCATTTCCTATAAAGAAGCTGCATATAAAGGTCCTGCAATAAAATGTCAATGTGAATGGTGTATGAAAGTGATGGTCATCATCGTGATGAGGGGAGTAATGTTTTTTTTATGTTTGTTTGTGTGGGAGGTGAGAGAGGGGACAAATGCAACAGCTGCCCTTGCAAAATATTTGATGCTAACATAAGGAGGCTACCAGTAATTCTGCTGATGATCAAGGCTGTCCAGTCTTCCTGTTTATGCTGTGACTCACATCCAGATCACTTCTGTTTATATTAACATGGCTCTCATCACCCAGACCGACTGAACAAATGACTAATCTTTGCTTCTAGCTTTAGCACAGACGGCGGCACAGCGAGAGTTTTGCAGGTTTATTCGTGAGAAATGAAGAGTCAATCTGTGGCTCTCTGCTGGGTTCATCTGGGTAGACTTGCTGCTGGAAGCTGAAAGAGAAAGACTCAGAATGGGAGCTCTGTCTCAAGTAGTGCCTTACTACAGACAAAAGTAGATTAATACATTTTAGACTTGATAAATGAAAGAACCATTAAAGATTAAAGCCTAATTTATATTTCCCCGTCTGCGTGGGTACGGAGACATGCAACGCCATTATACGTTTTTGCAAGGGCTCTGAGACAGACCTGCAGAGGGTGATGAAGACGTGTATATTTTTAACTTTCCAATGAAAGTGAGACCACAAGCTTGTGATTGGTGAGGATGCCACTTCCTTTAAAATCTTCAACAGCACTGCCATTTCTCCTCAAAAAAAAATTGTGCTGAAGATATTTAGCGTTGGACGCAAACGCACGGAAAAAGTCCAAAAATATTAACTTTTTTTCAAAAAGATATGCAGCAAATTCCAGGAAATGATGGTTTAGAGGTGACAAAGAGGTGGAGGAGAATGAGGGAAAACTGTGGCTGTTGTAAAAAGTCTCTGAAATACAAAAGCACAATATGAACACAAAAAGGAGCCTAAGACTCCTCCTCTTCTGGTCGGCATGTGTCCCCGAAACAACGAAAAAAAATAATGTAACGGAACGGAATAAAAAAAAATACTCTCTAGTCCGCTTTGCCTTATGGGCTTGACACACGGGAGGCGATAAACGACCGCGATCAGCGAAATTTGTCGCAGTCGCTTTTATTACCTGACACACGGGAGGCGATCCGCGGCAGCGGCCAGCGGTAAGGCCGTCTGCGCGTTGTTCCATGGCGAAATCGAAACTTCCGTTGTTTTGTTTGGCTGTGTCAGGTTGGAGGGAATTAAGGTGATTTAAGCGGTTCAGAGTTTAAAAAGTGGTAGATATGATGTTTCACAAGGTGCTGCTAGAGTTATGTGAAATCTTACTTCTGATTTTACTATAAAACATAATAATAATCAACTTCTCCTTCATGTTTGCTCGGAGATGTACGGAGCATCCTGTCCGCTCATTGGTCAGTGAACGAAACCTCCGTTGATTGGTCCTCGCCCAAGCGACAGCGATGAAAAGTTGAAAATGTTTCAACTTTCTGGGATCGCGTCGCTGGGTCGCACGTGCACGACACGTGCACGAGCACAAAATTTCACACGCACGTTTTTCGCATTTCACTTGGTAGGAGGGAGACCCGCGATTATCGCTTTGTCGCACATGTCTCATTGAAAATGAAGGAGGAGAGGCGATGTCGCCTCCCGTGTGTCGAGCCCATAACGCACTGAATCACACGTGTACTTTAATTGAAATGAAATCAAATTCTATGTGCTTTGACTGTCATGTAATTTGAAATTTATTAGCTTGTAAACATTTGTAATGAAAAAAAAATACAAATAACAAGTCAACTATGACATCAACACAGAATCTCTTCTTCCCCAGCGATGTAGCTGCCAGTTTCCACACGGCCAGATTTAGTTTTTTTTTTTTTTTCATGTTTAATGCTCCTTCCTTCTTCCTGGAAGGATTCAAAGCTCGTTAAACTCACAGCCATTTTTCTTCTTCTCTTCTCCGTGTCTGGCTCGATGACATCCATTTGGTGAGACAAGCATTTGTAGTCTGCTACGTCTTTTCACACATATCCTAAAGTAACTTTTGAAGCCATTCAAAAATAAGCACTTTCTTGGCATTGAAATGCGTCTTTAAAATTCATGGACATAATATGTTAAATCCATAGCATACATCAAACAGGATCATTAAATAACTTTTATTGCCTCATTGACTTTTTGTAGAGGACCCATCCAAGAGTAGTACTGACTGTTTTCTTGGTGGGAAATTGCTTACTCCTCGAGCAATGGAGAAGTCCGAAAGGAAGACCTCTCTGTAAATGCGTGTGCATGACTCTAAACCTGAGCTAAAGAAGAAGTATGAATTGGGCTTAACTGTAGAAGTTGTCCTTTGAACAAAAAAAATTGCATTTTGCATACTTGTTCTGCTAATTCATTGATTGTGAAACATGTTGATCATCACTGGTCTCTCTAAACCTTGTGGGAAAGCCATGGTGCAAAAAGCGAGAAGCAATTGAATGATACAGCTTTCTTTCTTTCTAAATTAAAGCATGGGTAAAACACTAAAAACATGAAAACAGTTTTATGGATCTTGTGTGTTTAAAGCCTAATCAAAAACATTTGTGGTTTGAAAATTGAAGACTAGCCGCAGAGGTGTATAGCATTGTTGTCTTGCAGCGAGAAGATCCCAGTGCAACTAAAGATTGGGGGTTTGCGAAATTTTCTTAGGCACGGGTGATTTTTCTTCTCCATTTTCTTCCCTCGTACTGAAAACATCCATGGTTAGGTTTATTTTTTTGTCTTTAAATTAGCCCTAGATGTGTGAGTGTGATGGTGTGGCAGACTAGCAACCTTCTCAATAACACTCGGGGACCATGCTTCCTGTGGTGTTGAACAAGGTAAAGCAAGTTTTGATAAAAATATATGGAAACATAGAAACTGAAGATGAGTTAAAACAATCGTTTCTTTTGCCAAATTTATTGTATGCAACAAAGTATAAAACTCAAACAATAGGATTTCAGAATAAAATATGCTAAATTCCATTTTTAGTCCTTTTTTTAAACACAGATAAGGTTTTTCTTTACCTTGCTGATGTTTCATTTGCTGCTGCAAACATCTTCAGAGCTGATGCTGATGGTGGCGTCACTTCCTACTGTGTTTATCCGCAGGCAGCAGAGGACGTTGTCGCCTTCTGCTGCCCGCTCTCCCCTCCAATAATGCAGTCCCATGCGCGATCCAATGAGTAAACTCCATCATCTCTGTTCATGGTCCCACATTCACGTCTCCTTATCTCTATAGCTTCCTTTATCCATCTTTTGTATTTCTGTTGTTCAGTGTTTATGATCTTTGTGTTGTCCCAGTCCATTACATGGTTTTCTCTTGTGCAGTGATCTGTTACGGCCGATTTCTTTATTGTACTTTCTGCTTCTTCTTTTGCTGCTCTTGTGTGTCTTCGACTTGTTTCTTTCTCACACTCCTTTCTATGTTCTATTGTTCGTGTGTTGATTTGGCGTCCGGTTTCTCCTATGTATGTTTTATTGCAGAGTTTACATGGGATTTCGTAAACGACTCCACATTTATGTCCAGCTGGTATCTTGTCTTTTGGGTGTACTAGTCTGTTTCTAACTGTTGTGTATGGTTTTGTTGGTGTGTTCATGTTGTGTATTTTCATTGTTGCTCTTATTTTTTCTGTTATGCCTTTGATGTATGGTAGGGTTATCACTGGTGTTGGTTCTTGTCTTTCTGGGTTTCTGGTTCTTTGCTGAGGTTGTTCTTTTCTTTCTGTTGTTGTTTTCCTTTGTTTATTGCCCATGTCGGGTATCCGCAGGTCTTTAAAGCGTGTTGTATGTGTTTGTCCTCTTGTTTACGGTCTCTCTCTTCTGTTACCATGTTCGCTTGGTGATATAATGTTCTGATTACTGACATTTTGTGTATGGTAGGGTGTTCTGATGTCCATAATAAGTATTGGTCTGTGTGTGTTGGTTTCCTATATGTGTTTAAGTTTAGGGTCCCGTCGGTCTGCCTGCTTATTTTCATGTCCATAAATGCTATACTGCCTTCTGTTTCTGACTCATAAGTGAACTTCATGCTCCTTGTGTTGTCAATGTTATTCAAGTGTTGTGTTAGTGTTTCTGTTTGTCCTTTTGGTATGATTTCCAGTATGTCATCTACGTAGCGTTTCCATAGTTTTATTTTGCAGTTTGGGGGGGACGGTGGCTATGGCTTTCTGCTCTAGATCTTCCATGAAAAACTCGCACAGGGTGGCTGATAATGGGTTACCCATGGCGAAGCCTTCCAGTTGTTTGTATATTATGTTATTGTATGTGAAGTAAGTGGAGCTAGCTACTAGTCCTATCAGTTGTGCTATGTCATCTGCTGTGAGGTTTGTTCTTTTGTGTAAAGTTTTGTCCTGTCTGATTCTGTTAACTACTATGTCTATGTTTTTTTGGGTTGTTGTTTTTGTAAACAGGGTTGTGACGTCATGAGAGATGAGTTTATTGTTATCTTTTATTGTAGTCTTTTTCAGTTCTTTTGCCAGTTCTATGCTATTTTTGCAGTGTTGATCTGTGTTACCTAACAACGGGCTGATGATTTTGCTGATTTCTTTTGCCATGTTGTATGTTGGTGTACCTATGCTATCTACTATTGGTCTAAGTGGGGTGTTTTGTTTGTGTATTTTTGCAGTTCAGTAGATTCTTGGTATTATGATTGCTGTAGGGATCCAGTGTTTGTACATTTTTTCTGTTATTTTACCTTTTTCTTGTAGTGGCTTCAGTAATTTTTTCATGTTTTTCTTAATGTTTTTCCTGTGGGTCTTTTTAAAGTATTTTGTATGTATTTTTGTCCTCTAGCATCTGTTTCATCTGTTGTTTATATTTTTCTTTGTCCATTACTACTGTGTGTGTGACCATGAACAAAATGTCAGTAAACAGAACATTATATCACCGAGCAAATACGATAACAGAAGAAAGAGACCGTAAACAACAGGACAAACACATACAACACGCTTTAAAGACCTGCGGATACCCGACATGGGCAATAAACAAAGGAAAACAACAAACAACAACAGAAAGAAAAGAACAACCAAAGCAAAGAACCAGAAACCCAGAAAGACAAAAACCAAAACCAGTGATAACCCTACCATACATCAAAGGCATAACAGAAAAATAAGACCAACAATGAAAAAAGACAACATAAACACACCGACAAAACCATACACAACAGTTAGAAACAGACTAGTACACCCAAAAGACAAGATACCAGCTGGACATAAATGTGGAGTCGTTTACGAAATCCCATGTAAACTCTGCAATAAAACATACATAGGAGAAACCGGACGCCAACTCAACACACGAACAATAGAACATAGAAAGGAGTGCGAGAAAGAAACAAGTCGAAGACACACAAGAGCAGCAAAAGAAGAAGCAGAAAGCACAATAAAGAAGTCAGCCATAAGACCACTGCACAAGAGAAAACCATGTAATGGACTGGGACAACACAAAGATCATGAACACTGAACAACAGAAACACAAAAGACGGACAAAGGAAGCTATAGAGATAGGGAGACGTGGATGTGGGACCATGAACAGAGACGATAGAGTTTACTCACTGGATCGCGCATGGGACTGCATCATCGGAGAGGGGAGAGCAGGCAGCAGAGTGTGACAATGTCCTCTGCTGCCCATGGATAAACGGAGAAGGAAGTGACGCCACCATCAGCATCAGCTCTGAAGATGTTTGCAGCTGCAAACGAAATGTCAGCAAGGTAAAGGAAAACCTTATCTGTGTTTATGTTTATTTATTTGGCAGATGCTTTTATCCAAAGCGACTTACAATTTATAACCTATAGGGCATGTTGTGCTCTGAGGGGGAAACTGGAGTACCCGGAGGAAGCCCACGCATGCATGGGGAGAACACGCAACTCCACGTAGAAAGGCCACAGCCGAGTTTCAAACCTGCAACCTTCGTGCTGCGAGGCAACACTGCTAACAACTGCGCCACCATGCAGCCCTTGTTTAAAAAAGAACTAAAAATGGAATTTGAAGACAAACACAGCAAGAACGTACAAAAGATGTTTAAAAAAACATGTTGAATCTACCTTTTTGTGTTTTTCCATTTGCGATTCACTCGCCCTTCCTAAATCCCTTCTGCAATAAAGAAAGCGATACTATGTTGACATTTATTTTCTGCTCCCTTATTCATTTTACACAGAGCAGTTGCAATTCATTTTAAAGTTGGGTGAAGACAAAATAGCGTCAATAGACTGTTTAATTTATTCCCACCATGTCCGTAGACCTTGAGCTGTGAAATTACAGAACAGAAATGGAGGGAATACAGAAACTTTGAAGCCACTGAAAGACCACATCTGCCTGCAGAGCATAACCCCCTGCTGCTCTTGCTGATCTCTTTTAATAGTGTGTGTTGTGCTTGTGCACTTCAAGATGTGTGAGTTTGTTTGTGTGTGTGTGTGTGTGTGTGTGTGTGTGTGTGTGTGTGTGTGTGTGTGTGTGTGTGTGTATTTGGGGGTGGGGGGTTTGTGCACTGCTCCTTCTGCATGAATGCACGACCACAGATCTCAACCAGTCATCCTTGACCTTGTGAAAAAGACTTCAGAGACAAGTTTTTGGAGAACGGCACATCCGCTTACTCTCCACTACATCGTTCTCTAATCACACTAAAGTTCTCCGTGCTATCCTGTTGAGCTGTTATTGCATTTTGATGGTTGCTGTTTACCAGTGTTGGGCAAGTTACTTCAAAACTGTAATGCATTATTTATTACTTGTTACCCTCATTTTAAAGTAATTCATTACATTACAATATTACTGATTTTAAAATGTAAGGCATTACACTACTTTTGCATTACTCTAAGTTACTTTCATACAACTTCAATATGAATCTGGTCATGTGACACTCAGTGACCTCATGACATATATGTGGAAGGTGATGTGGTGTCTGAGCTAGGATTGCTGTTAAAAACAGTCAGATATAATAACAGTGCTTTAAAATGATTGTTTATTAAATAAAAGCAACAACAATCTGTATTCTCAACACGCTGCCATCTTACATTAACTGAGCAGGGAGTGAGGTGGTGGGGGCCCCAAGCCTATATTGCCTTGGTCCCCAAATTCCTTGATACGGCCCTGGATGTGGGGCTGACTCCTGGGGTGATCTGATTCTATCATAAATATTAAATGCGTATATTAGGGGTTGTACGAACTAGTCGACTAGTCGACTTCACGGCTCTAGTGACTTTTTATGCCTGTCATCAACTAGTCGCTGTCACGTGATAATGACTGACAAGATGCAGTCCTCGGAAAAGACAGCAGGTGATGAGCCCCTGCGCGTCTGGATCGAGGCGGAGGCAACGCGGTGCTGACACCGGCGGTAAAACGGACATTTAACCAAACTGTGACCTTTTCCCTCTTGCAATTTAACCTTCCCCTCACCCCCATCCTAATCTTAACCAGTTTGCGCATGCAAAGCTCTGATCGTTGACGTGCGCTCCAGACATCTGCGTCCTGAGCACCGCCAAATCAGGTGTCACCACCTCAAAAACAAATTAAACACGCGATCGTTCATGTCGGCTCATTTCCTTTCATGTTTTCTGTCTGTTATTTGTGCCTGATGCATTTCGCTGCTGCAGAGCGAGGCGCATCACCTGTTGTCCTCCGGTGACACACCCCCAAGATTCCACTCCACTCCGCTCCGCTCCGGGCATGAACTCCGCAGCAAAAACGGTCCCGTTGTAGTCGGCCGGCGAGCAGCGGCACTCCGCTGTTTTTGCGGTCGGTAGATCTTTTAGAACTGCAGTTCAAAGGTAACTCATAAGGTGAATATATATGAACCCAGGTGGCAGTTTCTCTTTAGGATTGAGAGGAGATGCAGGAAGATAATAAACAGGCAGGACAGAAAAATAGTCAAATAAAAACAAGTTAGTTTTTGTACCTGGTGGTTGCAACAAACAGACACCACTGAAGGTAATCAGAAGTGAGGAACAGAAAATAATTATTTTAATGTTTAGAGCAGCAGGAAAGGCTGCAGGCGCATCAGTGAGTTTGCGGCTGCTGCGCAGGGGGAGGTGGGAGAGGACTGAAGTAGGATGCAGAAACTACTGTTTTTAAAAGAGATGTGTTGACTTAGAAAATGTGGGCGCAATTTTAATTGTCAAAAACTCCAGCGAACCTACCGACCGACCCCCCCCCCCCCACCACCACTTCCGGCGTATGACGTCATCAACGACTAGTCGAAGTCGACTCGACTTTCATTACTTGACTGTCGACTTTAAAAAAAATAAAGTCCTGCAGGCCCTAGCGTATATATAATGTTGCTTTTCACTGGTTAAAAATGTGTATTGGGGATAAATCTACCTACTTTTTTCTTTTCAAGCACTTTGTTTTGTTTTCTTGATTTTATTTGAATAATTTCCTGCCCTTTCTCTCTCTAACCTTCCTGCATGCTGCATGTTCTCTCCGTCTTCCAGAAAAAACTGTTTCCTAGACTTCCTACTTTCTAACGATCAGCCAAAGGGATCTTCACACGCGCGGCGCTCCAGCAGTAATGAGTTGAAATCACCGGGGTACAGATTATGAACTCAGCTGAGGCAAAGCACGTCAGAAAAGCACAAAATACCAGAGAATATGCGCTGATATGAACGATCGCAAGAGAATTATTTTGTTTTAGTGGAGCGATTTTGTGAATGTTTCAGCGGCCGCGTGCAGGACGCAGCTTGAGTAGTTGAGCCGTTGACTGTTGTAAACGCGCAATGAAATTTTCGCGGCGGATAAGATGCGGCTGGCTTGACCGCGGCTCACAAATGACAGCTCACTTGACCGCGGTCCGTTACCGCGTACCGCTGCGTCCTCTCTGCCCGCAAAGCTGAGTCCATAAATGACGTAATATATGCAGATACTGGATATTTCTTCGGGTTTCCCGCAATTTGAATTTTTAAGGAACACATCTTGATTCTGGGTTTAATAATGCATTGTAATTACCGCGTTACTGACAATTGTACCGAGTAAATATTACCATTTTCTTTCCCTGTAATGCCTTACATTACCACATTACAGCACAAAGAAATGCATTACAGTAATTAATTACTTTTGTACCGCATTACTCCCAACACTGCTGTTTACGCAAGCTTCATAATCTGGGCTTAAGTGGTTCACAGGAGCAGGACAGACTGATCTAAGAAGTGTCAAAAAGTGTTTGCAAGTGGTTCGACACTTAACAGTTTTCTACTTTCGTGACTACTTCAAAGGAGCAATATGTAATAATTCTACAGTGAAATAATTACAAAACAATCGTCAATGTCTCAGTCATGTTGGAAGGAAGGTTACATTGAAATATATTTAATTCTGAGTAGTCTGTGGAGTTGTTAGTTTTTCTCCTTTCTGACGACAAAAGAGGGCTATAGTTACTGTTTCCAGTGAGTTTGTGAGGCTGTTGACTCTGCACCGAGCTAACGCTGCAGCTCGGGCATTTATAATTCGACACTGGCAGGCAAAAGAAGCAAAGCCAGTATAAAGGAGCAACCCTAAAGTTATTTCTTGTACTCCTAAGAAGCCACTCTGCTTTACTCTATTATATAGTTAAACAGGCTGGAGGCTAAAATTGAGCTAACAATGCTAACGGTGAGTTAGAAACAAATAGTTGGCTCTCAATTACCAACAACTCGATATAGCAGTGAAAAATATGCATGAAGAAAATAATGAATCAATCGTGGAGTTTTACTTCCTTTTCGTCGGCATATGTGAAATTTCATTTTTTTGCTGATGACTGCCAGATCTATCTCCCCTTTCGACGTGGGGAAGATCGATCTTTTTCTCCTTTACTGGACTGTTTGAAGGACATAAAATGCTGGATGGCTTCCAATTTTTTGCACCTAAATGAGAGCAAAACGGAAGTCATAATTCTTAGTCCTGGTAGAAGAAATGGCCCAGGTGCTGATTTTGACCTTGGCCCATTGACCCCCTATGAAAAGAAAATAGTCAGTAATTTGGGGCTAAAATTGACTCCTCACTTAATCTTGACACTCACGTAAATACGGTGATGAGGTCCTGTTTTTTATTATCTGAAACGACTATCCAGGATCAGGCCCTGTTGTCCAGAGCTCATCTGGAGTCCGTGTTGAATGCTTTCGTCCTGTCCCGTCTGGACTACTGTAATGCTCTATATGCCGGTCTGGGCCAGTGCACGGTTGCACGGCTTCAATTTGTACAGAACTCAGTGGCTAGGTTCCTGACAGGTACCAGATGCCGAGATCACATTACTCCAGTGCTAGCCACTCCGCACTGGCTCCCGGTGCAATATCGAGCTAAATTTGAGATCTTAACTCTTGTTTATTAGGACCTCCAGGGCAGTGCCCCCTCTTACATTACTGCACTTTTGCACAAGTATGTTCCATCTCGGTTTCTTCGCTCAGCCGAGCAGGGACGTCTGGTGGTCCCCCGGTCAAAATATCAATCGAGGGGTTATCGTGCATTTTCTGTTTTGGCTCCAACTCTGTAGAATGAATTGCCATTGAGCATTAGGCAGGCGCCGTCCCTTCAAGTCTTTAAGTCTAGTCTAAAGACTCATTTCTATTTGATTGCTTTTCAGCGCTAGGGTTCACTGAATTGTCCTGACAGTATGGTTTTTAATACTTCTTCTTTTTGATCAGGATGCTTGATCTCATTTTGTCCACCATTTGTTTTTAATTGATTAGCCTCATTCCGTTACCTCTCTGTATTTGTAATATTGGTTGCTTGTTATTTTATGATTTTATGATATTATCTTGCTCTTATGCCCAGGTACTAGGAATGTTTTTATGATGCTGTTCAGCACCTTGGGCTTCTGATAACGTTGCGGAAGGTGCTCTACAAATAAAATTGATTGGTTGATTAATAAGTCGTTCAGAACTATAACAGCACAATGGCAAACAACTACACTTTCTCTGCTGGAGGGATACTACCGTGATAAATTTTTGTAAGAGCTCCTTACCGTAAAACACCCAAGAGTGCTAATACCAGATATGACTATGTATTTATCTACTTGTCAACTTCATGTATGACTCATCTTTGCTTGTCATCTAGAATCTTCTGGCGCTGATCCATAACTGGCAACAACAATAAAACTCACAGAACAGCAGTGGGAAAGAGAAGTTTTGCTTAGAAAAATGAACCACAGTAACAATATCAGACCACAGGATGTGATTCTTACACCATCCCTACATATTGCACCTTAAATGAATTTTTAAATTTTCATCTTTGTTGGCAGGGCAGTGGCATCCAACGACTCCCTGACATCGCTGTCAGGCAGCTGAAGCAGTGTTCAATACTTTGGTCAGGACTGATCTCAGCTCTGCAATGAAAGTACAGCTATTTCATTTCTAGTGATCACTGCTTTTCCACCTCGTAAAGTATGGGCTTCAATGGCCATCAGGCTGAACAGAGACCCACTATTTTGTGCCACAGTAACACAAAGTTTAAATGCAATGATAGCAGAAAACACACACCGGTGACCAATCAACTGCCTCTGGCTGTAATAGCATATATTGCTGGTGTGCTTTTATTAAAATATAATAATATTAATTAAACAGATACAAAAATTTGGTGTTAAGCAACAAATATCCACAAAAAATTATATCAGAAATTGGAAAAATCTGCAATGGGAAAATGTATTACAAGAGGTCTGAGAAAAATCTCATTTGGCACGCACAAGTTCGCTGCAATAGTTGCAGGGGATGGGATAGTGATGTCATTACAGCAGCGTTATGAATCTGATTGGTCACAGCTGACATGTGTCAAAACAACCTCTACTGGTTTCTAGTGGGTCTAACTCATGTCGGTATGGTCTGAGGACAAAACAATGGGCAAGTATGGCGACTGAAGGCAGTAACTGCATTTGTTTAGGATAAGATCGCGTGTTGCACACATTAGTGAATACAAGGTAAAGCTGTTTCATTAAATCAATAGAAATCTGTCATAAAATAACCCAGCTGCATTGTATTTGTGAAGAGTTGTGCTAATTCACTTGAAGATATTAAATCATGACTCAACAGAGTTTGTTGGAACACATTTGAGTCTTCAAATGCTAAAAAAGTCAAAAAGACTGGCAAAATATTACACTCAATATTATGTTTATGTTATGTTTTTATTTTCAAAGCATTGCTCTTGTGTTTTCATCAAAAAAAAATGTCTTTAAAGACAGATTTTTTTAAGCAGGCAATCATTTTAATAAATGAGTTGTTGTCCACATGAATGAAATCAATGCCTTGTGAGTAATTTTCTGAGGAATAAAAGCTCTTGCGCTCCTGTTTCAGAGAGTAGAAGGCAACTGGAGGAGCAGTGGTGCAGACTGATTGGCGAGCAACAGCATGACCATTCCACCACCTCCGTTCACTCTCCTTTCTTTGGTAAAAAAATGCAAAGTTGATGTTTAACAGCACTGCCTCTCCCTACAAGCAGATCATGCACTGTGCGTAGGACCCCATGGTCCGAGAGGGTGCTCGCTGCAGAACCACAAAGGCGGAGCTGCACCATAAGGTGGAGCTGCACCAGAGTCAGCCCCGCCCATTCACGCAAACTCAGCCTAGCCCACTGACTTCTTCCGTTTTTGTTTTTCAACTTTATCGCAAACTAACCTGACCCACATGAATTATGGCTGTCACCAGTTTACAATTGTCAATGCCATGTTCTATGCTCCAATTATCCAAGATAAATATAACTTGCAACATGACAAAGCCTGAATATATCCCTAAACGAAAAGGTTTCTTTAAGCAAATATCTGCCCATAGCAACTCCAACAAAAGCTGCCTACAAAAATATTGTGTTTTCTGGTAGTCCAGTGGCAAGATCATAAGATTTAATTTGCTTTCTCCTTAGCTGATGCTGGTTCGACTCTCAGTGGGCTCGGTAGCAATCTATATAGCCAGCTGAAACATTTAATTTGTTTATATTTTAGTTGTAATGTTTATTTTCTGCAAAAAATATGTATGTCTCTAAAAGTTCTTTGAATTTGGTCGTTCCTAAACAGCATTTTAGTTGAAACTCTGCTCACAAATTGACTCACACTGGCTAAATAAACAAATAAAAAAAATAAAACACATCAGTCATTATATTTTAAACGGTATACCAATAAATTGTTGTAAACATAGTACTGGCAAGTGTAGTTAGAAAAGAAGAAAAAGGGTTACAAAGTACCTCTATATTGCCGCTACTGGGAGGCAAACCTGCACCAAACTACATGTGAACTCACTCCACAACCACTTCACCACTACATCTGATAGAGAACGAGTGGCGTTACATATATTTGTGCCATCCAGCGTATCTTTGTAGATGGGATGTACAGTTTTTCTGGCAGTGTCTCAGTAGAAGTCATTTCAGATATGATTTGTCAGAAAATTCACTGAATATCCAGATTTGAGAACCAAGACCAGACCCGCTTCGGGGGGAGGAGACCAACTTGAAGCTGAGATGGGAGGAAAATGCATTAATGAGGCCAAAAATGGCTTTGGCATGTTTCTTATGAGGAAATGACAATATAACATGATTAAAAGTTCCAAAAGTTAGATTTTTAATTATATGGAACCTCAACTCCGTCCTCAATCTTGCATTTTAGAAGATATTAGCTACAACGCCCTCTTTGGTTCCAGAATGCTATCAAGTCTGACAACTGGAAGGAATTGGACTGACTGATGGAATGGGCGGGGCTGACTCTGGTGCAGCTCCGCCTTTGTGGTTCTGCAGCGAGCACCACTTGCCTGGTCATGAGGGGTCCCCATTTAGCTTCAGTGGATGCATTCATTGCTGCCGTGAGGCACGCTGGGGGTAGAGCAACGTCTGTCCAAAGGAGAGAGACAAATAAGAAATGAGTAATGTGACACCACAGTGCGCACGTGTTGCGCCATGTTGGATTTCTGTTTACTAAACGTGGTCGCTGCATTGGTCTAAACTGATCACGGGACAGCCACTTAATTCTTTTTCATTACGCTCAAAACAAACTAGTCCCACTTAAAAGCCATTTTAAAACAATGCATGCAGGAGGTTGGAACAAAATTAAACAAAAACCTGACGGTTGAAATTTGCTTACAGGAAGCCGGATCCATGCAGGTGAAGAGATGGCGTCAAAACGCAAACTGCAATACAAAATGGGAGTAAGAACAAGAGAAAAATATCTCAATAACATTATCATAAAAATCCGCTCAGGACCCCACTTTGGATAGGGCCGGCCCTGATGCTTTACCTCCATCAGTTACACAAGCTTGAACCTGTTCTTCCATGTTGTGGAGTTGCTAATGCTAGTGGTTAGCTTAACCGAGACATGCTCAGCCCTCTCCTAGTCGCTAAAGGAGCACAGCCTCCCATGGTTGCAAGCCAATAGGGTTAAGTCTAGGAATGCGTATTTGTTCCTGTGATGAAGAAGAGACTCAAATTTTCTTTAATCTATTATTATTGTTACTATTATTATTATTATTATTATTATTATTATTACTATTATTATTTTCTTTCGATGGCTAATGCAGGAATTAAAGCTTCTTTCCGGAGTATTTCTCTTGTCAGTTGGCACCATCTAGTGGCTGATAAGCATATCACACAAAAACTCGGTTCCTCTGTTTTTTTAAGAGGGTGACTTCACGTTTCTGTTTATAAATGTGCTTCTGTAGCCGACAAACGGCGCTAAAACACGTTGTATTACGAGTATTATTCTCATGTCATGTTGTGTTCTCATATATTTATATTTTAGAGACTTGTCCATGAAAAGTTCAACAAATCTGCATCAGTCGAGGTTTTCCTTAAATTTGAAGCAAGTAAGCGGTAGTCTAATGCTACTGGTTAGTTTTGGTCGGCTCTCAGTTTCCTATTGCACGGAGCTCTGTGGGGCAGGGGGCGTGCTTAGCAAAAAAATAAATTATAAAAGACATATTTCTTTTATTTTATCACAGTACATGGTGAGACAATCGCTTTTACAGATTTCTGACGAATCATACATCATTTCCGAAAGAGGAAAACTCCGGAAGGCAACTTTAAGGGTAGTGAGCCATTTTCACATTCTGCATGCATGTGAAACTCAGCATGACCAATTGTATTTCAAAAAGAACAATTATACATTTCTCAGTGAATCGCAGCTTTAACATATTGTATTCTGGCCGTTAAAGCTAACTGAATGGTCGGTCTGGGTGCCATATCATTCCAGGGTGAGATACTTGCCCTGTTGCAAAATTACCTATATTACATATATGATATGATAGATTACATGTGCATATGCACCAGAGAGGACAAACAGAGACAAAATAAGTCATACAGTAAAAACATGGAGTAGGAGAAAGGGTATGGAGAGACAAGGGGGATAGCAACAACAAAATGCACCTAGAAAAAAAACAAACAACAGTGGGGGGTACCCTAATCAACTAAACAAAGCAAGTAAATAGAAACTCTTAAAACACATTGTCATCAGTTGTGTTTGTGCTTGTGTGAGTGTAGAAGTAGTTTTTGTGCGTGTTGTATGAGGTGAGAGAGGGACTGCCTTGTCACACATTGGCTCCACATCCAGGCCCATGCCCAGGTATTTGGCACCCCTAGAGGACAGGCAGCAACCAGTGGACATCAAATTTTTTACAATTTGAGTAGTTTTACTAACGCTACCAATTTCTCATGCAACCTTTACACACATTCAACTGTTGTGGAACCAGCAAGTCACAAACGTACCGATTTTAATGAGCAGGAAAAGCCCCACATCTAGGGTGTAGAGTGCTACGCGTAGAATTCACACTTACATGTACGCATTCATTAACCACTGAAACCATGATGGAAATTTTAACACATGGGGGTGTTTACAGTTCGTGGACCTTTTTTTCCCCCCATACAGTCTGACAGCTTTCACTACTATAGAAATGGGAGATGTACTGAGATGACTATTGAAACCTTCTCACATTGACTATTTTTGGGTGGGGTGTCTGACAATTTTATCTGAACATCTGATGAAAACAGCACCTGACAAAAGAGGTTTTGTGGTCTGGATGCAGTTGCATGTGTGTGAAGGTGGGCGGGTGCATCGAGCAGATAAGGAGACTTTTTTGAGTTGATTTGTATGTCGACCCCCACCGTTTTCCTCGTAAAAACTACCGGTAAATGAGCAGAAATAAGGTATTTATTCTTTGGAGTATTTTAATCAAAGGTGGATTTTATTTTATTTAACATAAATCCCTTTATTTTTAATGAAAAACAACATATTTCCTTTTAGAAATCGCAATGAATTACTTCGAGCTTTACTTGTGATCATTTCTGGACTGCTCCTTTAAAAACAATCTCAAATCAAGCTTTCCTTTGCAGTTTTTACTGCAGTATCTTAATGCAAAATTCTAGGCTTCTGTTAGGAGGAATGTGGAAAAATAAACATTTTGCACAGTGTCACAGACGTGACCTTTTTCTTTTGTTTTCTTGAGAAACAGGTGTTGACGCATGTCATTGCAGATACATACTGTATGTGCATAAAAAGGATGAAGGGGAAATAAGTTTCACATTAACATTTCTTTTGTCTGAGTGCATGAAAGCCACATGAATCATATTCTGAAAAAAGTGATGGAAAGAACGATCAGGTTCCTTTTGCTGAATGGTTGAAACGGTGGTGTTCACTAATCGGTGTTGCTTTTTTTTCATTTTGGGAAAAAATCAGCTTGGTACAAAGTGTTGCCATGTTTTCAGGGTTGGTTTCCAGGAGGTAACATATCATCACAACGTTTAAAGGTGAATCGAGTTCGATTAAAATTTTAACATGTAAAAAAATAATTATTCATAAGAACAAATAAAGTTTTTTGATGTTTTTTTTCTGCTGAGAAACATGCCCCATTTGTAACAGCGTTTTGGATCAGTGCACATCCTCTGTCCCCTTCATCCCACTCTCACAGACAGCTACAGCTACCTTTTCCCCTGCTGCACTGTCAGATAAAGTAATTGACTCTTGCAGTCTCCACTGAGCTGTCCATACGTGGTCTCCTAGGCTGCACACCCAATTACAGGCTGCAGCTCCCTCATGGACTGAGGTGAACATCTAGGGAAAAGAGAGATCAGTCTTTGATGTTGAAGTGAAACTTAGGTGGACACCCATGAGAAAACCTACATAATGGTGTCATCACCCCGCACTTCTATTATCTCGTTAAAAGGCAACAGGTGGGACAACATTGACACAGGACTCTGGATTTTGTCCATTTAGCAGTCATGAGTCATCAGTTTAATCATTTACTTCACTCTGTGTAGTACAAATGTAACGTAATGCAGCAACAGTGGAGTGACAGACTTTTCTTCTGCTTAAATCACACTATGGTAAGAATTTTTCTCACTTATTTGGAGAGCTACTATGCAGAATTGAGCTGCTAGTATATTTCTAATGCACTAATTAGTGAAAACCACTTTTTATTACCAAAGAAAGTAATTTTGATTTTAAAGATGTGTGCTTGTGTGCGTGTACTTGTCTATGCAGCAATCTGAGGGCCAGTGACAAACTTTTCATCTATAAGTGAGGATATTAGTTGTGTATTGAGGGCATTTTGCCTAGTCCTCACTTTAGTACAAAGTTAGTTTTACATGTATGGTGTGATTTAAGTTTAAGTTAAAGGTGTGGAACACAGAAAAACTATTTTTTTATTATTATTTCTGATTATTGACCCTTTGCACATGGCGTCACACCACTCATGGGATCGCCCCCTTCGCCGTGATGGACGGCAAAAAGACCATTTACACACGCTGAAACTCCAACAAAGCTAGTCAAAACATGCCAGTTTGTATCCATTTTTTGCTTTTATTTAGTTTGTTTCACAGTAAAATGGCAACAGCTTGCTGTGCAGTTGGCTGCACTGACAGATAAGGATAAAGTCAACTCGTTTTGTTTTTTCTTTTTTTTCCAAATAACTTTGATGGAGACTGAGGAGAGAGATGAACGGCAGCGATCAATCAAATGGACTAGCAGCCTTCAGATTTGCAGCAAACGTGTTTTTACTGCATAAGATTAACATTAATTCATTTCATGAGGAAGACAGGGGCAAATGTGATGCGTTCACACCACTTATTGATATGTTTTTATGTTTTTTTATTTTTTTTTATTTAGCAGACGCTTTTATCCAAAGCGACTTACAATTTATAACCTATAGGGCATGTTGTGATCTGTGGAGGAAACCGGAGTACCCGGAGGAAACTCCACGCAGAAAGGCCACAGCCGAGTTTTGAACCTGCGACCTTCGTGCTGCGAAGCAACAGGAGACTGGGGGCTGGGGGGGGGGGGGGGGGGGGGGGGGTGGCTGGTGCCCATCTCCAGCGGTCAACGGGCAATCAGGTGGGGTACACCCTGGACAGAGAGCCAGCCCATCGCAGGGCAACACAGAGACACACAGGACAAACAATCATGCACACACACACTCACACCTAAGGACAATTTAGACAGTGGGGGTTGTATGAACTAGTCAACTTTTTATGCCTGTCATCGACTAGTCACTGTCACGTGATAATGACTGACAAGATGCAGTCCTTGCAAAAGACAGCAGGTGATGAACCCCTGCGCGTCGGAAGGCGGAGGCTGACACCGGTGGTAACACGGACATTTAACCAAACTGTGACCTTTTCCCTCTTGCAATTTTACCTTCCCCTCACCCCCATCCTAATCTTAACCGGCTTGCGCATGCAAAGCTCTGATTGTTGACGCACTCCAGACATCTGCGTCTTGAGCACGGCCACAGTAACATTATCAAATCAGGTGTCACCACCTCAAAACAAATTAAACATGCAATCGTTCATGTCAGCTCATTTCCTTTAACGTTTTCTGTCTTTTATTTGTGCCTGATGCGTTTCGCTGCTGCGGAGCGAGGCGCATCACCTGTTTTGTCCTCCGGTGACTCACCTCACTGATGCGGCTGGCGAGCAGCGAGCACTCCACTGCTTTTGTGGTCGGTAGATCTTTTACAACTGCAGTTCAAAGGTAACTCATGAGGTGAATATATATGAACCCAGGTAGCAGTTTTTCTTTAGGATTGAGAGGCTTCTTCTCCTGGCACTCAGAGCACAGACGCTTCTGCTTTGCTCCCTTATCTTTTTCTCCCAACGCTCTTTTGTCCTGTCTGCCTACAGAGCACTTCTCTGCATTTCCTCTGGAAATCCCTATTTTTTTTTCAGAAATGGATTTAATTAATTGGTCATTCAACGTGACTGATAAGATTTTTTCTACGATGAGAACGGAGGAGGGGGCTCCCACTTGCCCTCATGGGACACACACAGCGGGATATACGCTCGATTCCTGGAAGGAGTGGTAAGTCGTCAGTCTCTCTCAGCTGTCCATTGAGGATGTCGAAGATATGTGGATATTTGGCCTGATGATCACTGGATTTCTTCTGATTGGAGTGGGAGGATATCTGGTTTTCCGGAAAATTGGGAAGACGGGAGCGATTGGAGGGCGACCCGCACCCATGGACAGCACCATCCGGGCGGAGACCTCACAGACTGGGACGTTACTCGAGGTGAATCGTAAGCTGGACAATGTCCTAGCTGCGTTACCGGTGTTAGCGCGCAAAATGGATGTCATCTCGGAGAGGGTCACCGGACGGTGTGGAGATGTTTAATAACCCGAATTGGCTTCACTGAAGGACTGGAATGACCTGTTACAGACTGAAGGCAGAGGGGAAAATTATCTCTGCCTGTCCCAAACACAGTCTTGTTATCCTTATCTAAGCATCTAACCCCCACGAAGGAAGGAATGCAGACAGATGCTGTGGAAACCCGTCCTACCCGTCCTACCCCCCCCCCCCCCCCCCCCCCCCCCCCCGGGCCTTCAGATTGTGGACTCCTGCATAGCGAGGCCATCAACCTGCAGGAACCGAAATGTGCTCTGTGCTCCTCCCAAGATCTCTCTCCCTCCTGTGGATACAGCTGGCTGAGCACCACACATGGCTGCTGGCCTTAGATAAACAGGAAGCAAGATGCAGAAACTACCTACACGTCGTCAAAACCTTTTTTTGCACCTGCAAAGCTGATAAGCAAACAGTTCCTGCAGAAACAAAGCTGATATTGTTAGACTCCTTAAGAGTCCGCCAGACGCACGGTTCCATACAGCTGTTGTGGCCCGAGACATCTCTGGACTGAAGAGTCGGTACCACGGTATTCTACAGCCTTCCGGTGCCAGCGGTCAGCCGACCCGTGACTTTCGGATCCACCAAGAGGGTCTCTCCAAAATGGGTGAAGTAGACATGACAGATAGCGTCTGATGATAAAAACTTTATAGCTTAGAGCTAACCAAATTCTTTTCACCAGAACTCAGCTTACTTTGATAAGGAAGCTCTGACTGACATCTCATTCACACATAGGTTCCTTCATCACATTTAGTTACATCCACTCACAGTAAATGCTTAGTTAATTAGTCATGTTTTAAATTGTTTGTAAAATAAATTCTTACTTTTATAAACCTGACTCTTTCTTGAAATAACATGAAGTGTGGTAGATCACTGAAAAAGCAAAGAACCTAGATCTTCTGAATTAAATCCTAGAACCTTCTGAATAATTACAATAAAGACCTCACAGGTTAATATTTTATATTTACATACAGAATATTACATTTTCCTGGTCATAACAAATAAAAATCATCGATTTGCCTCATCTACACAAGACGTTCTTTCCTACTTGAGACCATTGCAAATGTATTGATTAAATGAGAGTTCAACACCTTCAAGGTTGGGGTTAGGAATAGACTGGCAATGGTTAGGGTTAGGCACAGACCAGTCACTAAAGTCAATGACAGTCCTCACAATGATTGCAAGAGGAGAATGTGTGCGTGTGTGTGCATGTTATTCCCTATAATAATTTATTCATCTTAGATTTGAAAACTCTTCAAAGTTTCTTTTGATAGAATTCAAATTTTGTAAAATGTCATACAAATCAGATGTTAGCAGCAACGCAACAAAAGGAAAAGGTCATTATTTTGGAATCAGGCATTTTGTTATTGGAAGAATTTTGCAATGAAATAGATGTAATGACCGTCTTCAATTCATCATTGATAATTAACATTTTAGGTACTGAACAAGTAATTTAGCTGCAAAAGTCTTACCAGTCATGCACATATCCTTTTTAACTTACAAGCCGCATAAACACAAGCACAGACATAAAAGATCCCGATCACACATGCACTTTGATCCAGCTCACAAGCTGCAAAAATAAAGTCAAAAACTGATTTTGTGCAACTTTTTAAAAGCTGTTCTGTGAACAGAGTTAATGTTAGCCTCCAAAACCATAAAACCCCCTACCAGTGGGTTAGAATGGGGAAGGATACTCATCCACCCCTATATGTGCTGTATATGTTTAGTGGTGCTGAAGCCAAGTCTCTGTATCCAGCAGCTGCAATCAGGAAACATCATGCTGAGCAAAATGACTTGAGATCTGAATGGCAATCACTTTCTATTTGGGAGAAAAACAGGGACAAAAAATTGAGAAAAAATGCACACAGTCAGGTCTTTATATAATGCAAGTTACAATCTGTATGGTTCATTTGTGCAAATTTAACAAGCAAACTGTGCAGAAACGGTCTAGTTAAGGTGGCTTTGAAATCAACTCCTTCAAATGAAAATCTATGAATGACAGTTTTATACTGCTTGCATTAATCAAAACTTAATATACCCATTAAGTGTGTAGACAACTGATTAAAAACCCAACTGTCATTTGCTTGTGACACAAGAGCTACAGGTTAAGCTGAAAGTAATTACTTCTCACTAGACCTTTAGTACTTCCTCCAGCAAACATTTCAAAGATCCAAAGAAAGACAGAGAGGAAGAGAGTCAGAGAGAGGAAAAGATGCTATTTTAGTTTAGTTTTAAGGCTTAATGGTCCGGCTATGATGTGCACACACCAATTAGCCCGGCTGACCTCGGAGATGGACTGTCAACCTGTCCGTCTAATGGAAAGAAGGGCGAGAGGGAACTCTTATCTGTGCCCAACAGTTAATGGGGCCATATTATTTAGATGAAGGTGATGAAAAGAACAATGGCAATATGTTTTTGATGGCAAAGTTCAGCAAAGAGAACGGATCAATTGGATCTTGTAAAAGCTGTTGGGTTGGTAGTTGAGTAGGAAATCTCCATTTTTTGTGTTACAGTTCCTGTTCAGGCTCTGCACTTATTCATTTAATAAATTATTGTTATTCATTTTATATAATGCTGTTTATTTGACAAAACAAAGTGTTTAAAGAAATACGATAAGAGATAGTTTAGATTAAAAGTATATATAGGGAGAAATACTAAAGCTAAAACATTTCTTTACAGTTAAAGACATAGTTTCTCCAATTTGGACTTCTTTATTACAGTTCTCTACCATTTTAATAGACTTCTGAAATCAGCATAAATAATCTAAATTTATTACAAGGACCTTTTAAAATCAGTCTCAAGGCCTGTAATTTTAAGAACATATTGTTAGCTGTTTCTGCAGATCTGGTGACCCAAAAAAGGCAACTTTGACAAATTATATAACTACTTTTCAATGTTAATTTTTCAAACCAAAGTTGAAGTCAAGAATATGAGAGAGAGAGAGAGAGAGAGAGAGAGAGAGAGAGAGAGAGAGAGAGAGAGAGAGAGAGAGAGAGAGAGAGAGAGAGAGAGAGAGAGAGAGAGATTTCAGTTAGCATCTGTGAACCGTGGAAAGGCAAGCAGCCTTTTTCCAGGAAGATAGCAATATATCTCTGGGAACAGGACTCCTTTGACACAAAGAAAAAAAGTTATCTTCATTTAACATGACCCACTGCGGCTTACTTTGGCTTCTAGGTTGAAGGTTGAAAACTGTAAAGTCGTTCTCCTCTGCAGCCACTTCTGAGACTATACTGGAGGAACAAAAAACTATGAATATGCTGCAGTCACAACCATCTGTGCAGGATGACTCAGAGGAGACATCTGAGCCCAGATGCATAAATCTCTATCTTCTCGGCAAAATATATCAATGCACAAAAGCAGAAGTGTGCATATGTTACCCCTTAGATTAACACATCATCCTGTTTGGTTTTCTATCTAGGGGCAGTCGAATCTAAACCTATCTAGGGGCAGTAGAATCGAAAGGCACATTTACCTTCTTGTTTTTGTTGAAGAAAGGAAACTTGGGTGGTCAAATGTAGCTTACCAAAAGTCTGAGCCATGCCTGAGCTGCTTTATATGTAAGTTAGTGATCTTGAAAAGGTGAGGGAGAAGCAGTTGTTCCTGAGAAAAGCTGGTTTATTTCTTAACACACAAGCCACTCTTTGATCTGTG